ATAATTAGTTATTGACTAATAACTAAGTAATGATAAAAGACAATCAATATACAAATTAATTAATTGATTCATACACTTATTATTACATTGCTACTAGTTGTGGAAAATATTTTATCTTCCTATTTTTCTATATGAACTCTCTCTCATGAAAGGTGGAATGTTTAATGATTTTAATTATTATTATTATTTTTTTATAAATATCGTGAGGTTCACTCAAAGAGAAATTGTATGGGTCTTTTTTAACTTTGGTTTGATAAAATGGGTTTTTTTGAGGATTATATAAAAATTAAATAGGGGCATTGATATAATTAATTAAGAATCTATATATAGAATGAAAATAATACGAAGTATTTAGAATATATATACAGATTTAAAATAAAATTTAAAATCTATATACAGAAGTAAATAATATTGAAATAAATTTACGTTGGAACTCTGAATTCTTGGTGGCTTCGTCACTGTTTTTCAAGCAGGTTTTGTCGTTTTTTATATAGAATTCTGTAATCTCGTAAGCGAGATGTCTCAAACAGTGGCAAGTTTTGTTGTTTTATATATTCTATTGTAATCTCATAGGTTGAGATACCTCAAACAATGTGCAATGAAAATAAAAAGTTAAGAGGATAAATATGTGTATATATATATATATAATTTATCCGTTAAAGAAAAAATGAACACATAGATTAAGCTAAAATCGATATGATAATAATTTGATTTGACATAATATATTATATAAATATTTTAAACATATGTTATATAATCATATAATATATAGTATTTAAATATTATTTAAATATTTTATGATTATTTTCTCCTCTTCCTCTCCCCTCTCTATATTTTTCTCGTACACTTATTTGTTTTTCCATTAACAAAGATTCAATGTATAATATTCTTCTCTTCTTTTTTTTTTTTTTTTTCATATTTTTTTTTGTCTTTTGGTCTTTCCTTTACATTATAATCGTTGTTTACCTTTATCTTTTAACAATATTATTATTATTTTCTTTAAAAAATAATCCCAATCTAGACTAAGAATTATATAACAGTTATAATGGGATGAACTTCGACACCCTTCACTTGCCTATGATGAAGTGGAATTTCTTCTGAAAGAGGACGCACCAAGGACCAATGAAGCAAGCAAATAATTGACCCACGCACAAATAAGAATGACAAAAAAATTAATTGATTGGATTATCGAATCAAATATTCGATTAATAGCAAATCATATACAAATACATTCACAAATTATTTATAGATCACTAAATACTCTTATTGAATTGAATCCGACCCATTCATTGGTCAATAAAAAGCGGGAAGCAAATAAAATGAGACATGTTTACTTTTGTCCATCAACACAATAAAATTTAATTAAATTATTTAGAAAAGTTTGTTCCTTAGTAAGAAAATTGCCTAAATTAATTAGTATATATTATTCCCCTATAACTTCTAAAACATATCTGTCGCTCCTGTCACTGTAAATTACATTATTTTCACATTTATTAGTAGAGTTACTTTTCAACTTCAATATCATTCCCCTCTTATTTACAAAGCTTATATATATACACTGTAATTTTCACTTGTTATTTTCATTCTAGAAAAGGGCAATAATTGTCTTTTAAAAAATAGTTACATTCCACAGTTATTTAAAATAATTGTTGTACATTCCATTTTTTAAAAATAGCAAAGCGAGGAAATCCTTTTGGTGGAGTGCCATTTTGACAATATCATAAAAAAAAATTAACCAAAAAAAAAAAAAAATTATATTCATATATATTTTCATCACCATCTAAAAGTTAAGTTTATATAATCAAATCAATTTAAGGAATACATTTAATTGATGAGTAAAATAATAACATAGTTTACTCAAATTCAAATAACAACAAAAGTTCATGACAACGTATTTTATTCTAAAATATTGGTGAAATGATAAATATATGACTTAATTATTTTTTGTTTAAAACGTTATTGTAAATTTGCTAGAATGAAAAAGGGATAACTTAGTGTGTGATAATTACACCAATGTCTAAAATAGTCTAAATATTAATTAGTCTCTCTAATTAGTTTTAACTAATTAAGTAATAATCAAAGACAATCAATATATAAATTAGTTAACCTAATTCATACACTTTTTATAATATTGTTACTAGTTGTGGAAAACACCTTATATTTTTTTGTTTTTGTATTTGGTCTTGCGAATAAGAACTCAACTCTCTCCCTCTCAAGAAAGGTGGGGGAGTTTCAACCAATGTGCAACTGAAAAATAAAATTAAGAGCATAAATATGTATACATATATTTTCTTTCTTTTATAATTAACTTAAAAGTAGATAGATATCATGTGATGCAAAAGAGAGTAATTATGATTAATAATATGCTTAAGAGAGTAATTTTAAAGTTGATAAATTGTATCCTTAGTGTCACTTGTCCTATTCAGTGCACCTCGTGGGCTGTGCAATGTGTTACTTGGTGTCGTACACGATGTGCATACGCCGACATGTATTTGCACGCACAACTCTGATTAACCCAATACATTGTGCGCACTGAATATCTATCCGGGCATGAGGCTCATGCTAATGCAAATTTGTTAAAATAATTTAAATTATAATTAATCTCTCTAATTAGACATTGACTACTAAAGTAAGTAATAATAAAAGTCAATCAATATATAAATTAATTAACTTATTCATACACTTGTTATCTTTACATTTTACCACTACTAATTATGGAAAACATCTCCTCTTCCTATTTTTCTATTTGGTTTTACCGATAATAATTGAACTCTCTTTCTCTCTCAAGAAAGGAGGAATGTTTAATGATTTTAATTTTTTCCCTAAATATATTGAGGCTCACTAGAAGATAAAGTGTATGGGTCTTTTTTAACTTTGGCTTGATAAAATGGGATATTTTGAAAATTATATAAGAATTAAATAGGGGCATTAATATAATTAATTAAGAACTTATATACAGAATGAAAATAACATAAAAAATTTATATACAGAAGCAAAATAACAATAATTTTATGTTGGAACTCTCACTGACCCTCGGTGAGTTCGTCGCTGTTTTTTTTGTCAAGTTTTTGTCATTTTATTTATGGTATACTGTGATCTCATAAGTTGGAGGGTCTCAAATAGTGGGCAATGAATAAAAAAGTAAAAAAGTTAAAAGAATTCCCATTTATGTCACTAATAAAATAACATAGTTTACTCAAATTGAAGATAACAACAAAATTTCATAATAACATATTTATTCTAAAAATATTGGAAAAATAGTAATTTTTTTATTTAATAACAATTTTGTAAAACACTATAATAAAAAGGAGCTAACAGTGTGCATGTGCATGAGACTCACGCCAATGTAAATTTGTTAAAATAATCTAAATACTGATTAGTCTCTATAATTAGTTATTGACTAATAATTAAGTAATGATAAAAGACAATTATTATACAAAATAATTAATTGATTCTTGTACTTATTATTACATTGCCACTAGTTGTGGAAAACATTTTATCTTCCTAATTTTCTTCATGGATCTCTCTCTCAAGAAAGGAGGAATGCTTAATGATTTTATTTTATTTATTTGTTTTTTGAGGTTCACTCTAATAGAAAGTGTATGGGTCTTTTCTAAATTTGATTTGTTAAAATGGGCCTTTTTGAGAATTATATAAGAATTAAACAGGGCATTGATATAGTTAATAAATAATCTATATACAGAATGCAAATAATATTTAGAATCTATATACAGAAGTAAATAATAATATATTTAGGTAGGAACTCAAAACCCTGGTAGCTTCAACACTGTTTATTGCAGGTTTTTTTGTTTTATATATTGAATTTTGTAATCTCGTAAGTGACATGTCTCAAACAATGTGGCAGATTTTGTTGTTTTATATATAGAATATTGTAATCTCATATATAGAATGTCTCAATTAGTATGCAATGAAAATATAAAAATAATAATTTAAGAGGATAAATATGTATATATAATTTATATATTGATTGTAATGTGTGTGTATATATATACATATTCAGTGCACCGGATTAATCAGAGTCGTGTGTGCCACGTAATGTGGACGCACGTCTCTGATTAGTCCGGTGCACGGGGTGCATTGAATACCTATTCGTGCATGAAGCTTACACCATTGCAGATTTGTTAAAATAATCTAAATACTAATTATTTAATTACTAATCAAGTAAGTAATAATCAAATACAATCTATATACAAATAAATGAACTAATTCTTACATTTATTATTATATTGTCATGAGTTGTGGAAAACACCTCATCTTTATATTTTCTATTTTGTGTTACGAATAGTAATTGAACTCTTTCACTCTCAAAAACAGGTGGAATGCTTAATGATTTAAAATTTTTTTTATAAATATTGTGAGGTTCTTCACTAGAAGAGAAAATGTATTGTCTTTTTTAATTTTAGTTTGAAAAATGGTGTGTTTTTGAGAATATATAAGAATTAAATATGGACATTAATATAATTAATTAAGAAACTACATACACAATAAAAATAACATTAGAATCTATATACATAATGAAATAATATAAATTAACGTTGGAACTCTGAACACTTGGTAGCTTTCCACTGTGTTTGTTTTTTTTTTTTTTTTTTTTCAGGTTTTTATCGTTTTATTTATAGAATATTATGATCTCCTAAGTGGAGGTGTCTCAAACAGTGTGAAAAAAGAGAGAAGAATATGTATATGTATATGTATATTCTTTTTATAATTAATTAAAAAAAATAGGTTGTCAGGAAAAAAAATAAAATAGTAATTATAGTTAATATAATTATAATAAATCTTTCAAAAAGGCTGGTAAATTGTATCATTAAAGTCACCTGTCCTGTTCCACTAAATTTTAGAAACCACCCCTTTCAGAGCCTCTGTCAATTAGAAAGTCACTTTATGGTAAGGAAAGGTAACGTCATGTGTGGTACACTTGTACTATAATCGTAATTAGATAAAAAACAGAGGGTTTTTATATTTCTGACACAACACACCACGCAACGCAACGCAACCTTCGTCGCGCCTTTCTTTACTCTGGTCTCCGCCGTGAACTCGGTTTGTCTTTTCTTTAGTTTAAAGGAATCGGCGATCATCTTTTTATAAGCCTCTCCTATCTCTCTCCTCGTTCTCTCTCTATAGATATATCTCAATAGACACACATACACACACATACACGGACACTTGTTGGCTTGCCCTCGTGTTCCTCATTGTTTTAATAACACAACTCGTCAAAGTTATCAGAACAACCCTTTCAGTTCACGGAGGAGTCTCTGTTGTCTGCTTCGAACAGTGCTCAAGGAGAGTAAACAGTCGCTATTCCGTTCCCAGAAGTAAGAGAAATTTGTAATTTTATTGTCTATATATCAATACATATGTGTGTATCTATGTGTTCTTGTTTCTTGTCACTGTGTTTTGATTCTGGTTCTTTAATGATAAATGGTGTTCGTGTATGTATGTGATAAACTATTGTTTCTTTGAATTCAGGAAAAATAACTGTTGTCTATATGATTATTTTATTATTATTATTATTTTTGATTTGGGTCTGATTTTGCTGCTGATCATGTGCTGTATATACAGATGTAAATGTGTGTATGGAAATATTTGCATGTGGATTTTGATGGGTTATGAATGTGAAAAAAATTGTGCAATGTGGTTGATAATTCATGTGGTTTGAAGGTTTTGGTTCATGGGTTTTTTGTGAATTAGCTTTTCTGCTGATAAAAGTATAGGATTTATTTTATTTTATTGTTGAATCAAACCGTTGAGATACAGTTGCAACACTGGCACTACTTTCTTTTCTTGGCTGCATCTTATGTTTATGTTGAGTTTTGAAGGGTTGAAGATCGAAAATTTGACAATGTGCTTGGAAATCATGCATTTATTGATGAAATCTGTCAATGAGATCAGTAATTGACTTAGATATTAGGATATGGTGGGGTGTTATGAGTTTTTTGATTGACCTCCTGTGCTTGGTAGCACCGAATTGGTGATTTCCTCCAATTCCAATTTCAAGGCGCTCATTCGGTGCTCCCAAACATAAAGTGATTTATTTATTAACTGGATGGATTACGGAGAAAACATAGTTTGTTGGCAGTGGGTCACTCCAACTGATAGTCTGATACACGTTTAGTAACAGTTAATTCCTTGTGTTCCTCATCGTTTGTTTTAATTAAGGTCATTTCGACCACCGTGTGTAATTAGGGAAAACCTCAGGATGCGTGTAATTTATCCTTGAAAAATTGATCAACTATGGAGAAACATTTACAGTAAAAAGAAAGTAAAAAACTATTGAGGAACTTGATTTATTGGTGTCAGGTTAGTTAATGATTTAAATTTGTTAATACTATGACCATTGGATCCATAAACAGTGTCCTGGAGAGGTGGGGCAATGAATGTTTATGCATTAAATTTTAAAAATTCCTGAATCCATGTCGTGCACGTAAAAAGTGACCTTTACCGAGTTATCTAATAATACTGTTATTCGAAAATATTTATAGCATTAACTAAAATCATGCATCAATTTTAAAATGTTTTGATCCTAAATTTTTATTGTTTAAATTATTCCAACTATGTCTACAGTTAAAAATTAAAAAATTTAATATCATTTTTTATTAAAAAATTATCATATACTATTTCTATAAGAATGAAACAGAAAATGTAAAGTTTAAAAGAAGCAATTTGGTTGGTATAACCCATGGTTTCATTTTATATATATTATAAAGTAACAAAAATTCTGGGAAGAACCAAAATTCCAGATTCAATATGGGACGATTATAGCAGGTTTCAAGATATATAGTAACACAATTACTGGACTATAATGAGCTCCCTTAATGTTTTAAATAAAGATTATGTTAAGTAAACAGCAGGATGAATTATGTGGTACGGGTGACAACATTAGTAACGGTAGTATTTGTGCACTAGTGACAAAATTTGAAATGCTTTGCGTTCAATAAGAGATGTATTTTTTGGGAACATCCTCACTCTTTTCTATCATATCAGGTCGCTCACACTGAGATCCCAAACTGAGTGGCTCTGTGCTCACCTGTTGCCAATAAACTTTCTGGCTTCATGTGAGAATGGAAAACTGGACACATACATCGGAGACCTAGAGACACGCCGGTCAAGCGAGGAAGACTAGTTGTAATAAAAGGTAAGAGACGGAGAGGGTGACTAAAAATAACTTGGGATGAGGTTATTAAAAATGAATTTAAGAAGTTAAATATAGTAGGTGAAAATGAAATAGCATGTAATAGGGAGTTGCAAAGTTTACAGGAGGCTGTGGATGATTAATAATATTCATTAGGAAACATCTATCAGTGGACTTGTTTAGGTTGGAGGGGCAATCATTATTATAATTTGTTTCGGGGAGGGGGGAATATGAAGTTGGAATAATTTTAATATGTAAGGTTAAGGGGCAAAACATGATTTCCAAAAACTTAGGGGGACAGCAGCGTCTGCCCACCCCCTCTGTATCTGCCATCTATCATCACTTAAAATAGCATATACATTTCAATGTCCGATTTCTATGTTTCATGAATTCACATTTGAGTTTCTCATTCACGTTTAGAAATCAGAGCCATTCTACTTTCCAAACCAGATTTGTGATAAGGTTTGAGTGCAGTGAATACATTTATTTGTACTTTCATCAACCAAATTTTCAACAAGGACAGATATTTGATATTATTAAATAATGTGATACCAGTGGCAGTTTGCCTATCCAATAAAAAGAAAAAAGAATAGTAATTTGTTGAATTAAAGTTAGGAGGCTTTGCACATAAACTCATAGTTGTCTGAATAGGGATCCGGCCTGTGTTCAACTTGAGAAACAAACTGATTTAGATTGTCGGGGGTTCATCACAATCACTTTATCTTATTCAACTTCTGGTAAAGTTCCAAATATATAGATATTTCTTTCAGGTTTACATTGGCTCATACTTGAAGTCTAGAATGTATTTTCTTTCTTGTTTACTGTTTTCTTTATATGTTCTAGGAGCAATTAAATTACATCCAACAATTCCCTAAAGTTTTTGATGGCCAGTTGTCACCTTTGGAGGAGATTTGGCATTTTTACCATGTGCTAAGATTTAATTATTTTTCCATGATTATCTTTGTTGAAGTAATATTTTCTTTTGTGCGCCAACATGCTGATTGACTGGATTTGATTGAAATCAGATGGAAGTATATCAAGTTATATCTGTAAGACTTCATCAATTAAGTAGGATTGTCAATCAGAGGCCCTTTGTCAATATAATGGGGCCTCATGTGGTAGATTGATTACTCTGTAGTATATTGCCATCCAATGTCAGAAATTAGAGATTTACTAGATAATGGGTCCAACCAAGTCTATCAGTTAATGAACTTCAACTAAAATTATCAGATATTTTATATGGTGATTTGAATTCTTAATTTGATGTTATCTCTTATAAAATTTAGTCCAAGTAATTATAATATATTGAAGGTGCCTGTAGTTGGTTCTTTATATAGAAGGCTCGCTTTGGAAGGGATCCTTAGATGAAGTAGTGGTTGATAATAATTCTGCAATGAGGAAAAGTGAAGTACCGTGGCATTATATAAGTACTCTAGACTTTTTTGATTTCTTGGTGAAATGGCCAAAAGTGAGGACCTTTGTTTGAAAATCTTGTATAATCCCTCTCTCTTAAACATGCACTTACCCATGGTGCTTATGCCCTTTACAAGATGAATTGTATTGTCAAATCAAAGTGGATGAATTTTGTAGAAAGATGCTAGAGAACATATTTTTAGCAGAAATTTACCACTTGGACAGGCAGATGATTTTTTTCCCCCCTCAGTAAGTGAAAGTTAGGCAGATGAGTTTCTAATTGACAATGACTTAAACGTGTTTCAAATAGATTCTAGCCAGTGGAAAACAAAGAGTTCTTTGTTAAGGATGCCTTTTTGCAACTTGAAGGAATTACTATCAAGCTATCAATTGAGAAGATCTCAAAGGTGATAATCATTCTATCCTCATTTTGTAGAATTTCCTAGAAGCTTATTTAAAGGACACACATTAGTCATGTCTGGGCATATGATTTAGCCAGAGAAAATACGATCTTGCAGAAACGAAAATACCATTTTATTACTTATAAGAGTGACACCAATAAAACACAAATCGACTGATGCTTATATAGAAGAGGAGAATGGGGTACATGTAAAGAGTGTAAAGTAATCCCCGGAGTAAGTTTTACAAACCAACATTGACTACTAGTATTGGATTTGTTAATCAAAGAATTAAAGAGTAAAAAATTAATAAAAGGACAAACGCATAAAGTGGAAAGATTTGAAAGGTAATAAAGCGATAACATTTAGAGAAAAAATAGTACAAGAGACACAATTGGATTAGAAGGATAATATAAATAACTTTTGGTCAAACATGGTGGGGTGGTAATAAGAATGTGGCAAGAGAAAATTTAGGAGAAACTAAGGGAAATAAATTTATGCAAAAAGAAATATGGTGGTGGAGTGATGATGTAGAAGAAGCAATAAAAGATAAAAGAATAAGTTTTAAAGAATGGCAAAAAAGTAAGAAACAAGAGGATTTGGAGATATACAAAAAGCATTAAATATGAAGCTAAAAGATGGTAGCCAAAGCTAAACTTAATGCCTTAAATAACTTATATGGAAAACTAGGAACAAAAGAGGGTGAAATAGCTATTTATAAATTGAAAAAAAGTAGAGAGAGGTTGAATAAAGACATGGATCAAGTTAGGTGTATTAAAGATATAGTTCAAACAATATTAGTTAAACGATAGGCTATGCTTGTTCTTCACCAATGGACTTCCAGACCAAGAATATTTGAATCAAATGCAAAGATTATTGTTTCAGCGGCTACGGGGTCTTGTCCAGCTCTTGTGATGACGTTGAACCTGGTTTACAATATTGGAGTTCTTTTGACACAACACAATAATTGGTCTCTCATATTTTCACCTCGCATTAGAAAGTTGGAAAAATAACTTTCAACCATTACTAAATGAAGAATATACTGGAGAAGAAGTCGTAAGTAGCGAACCGTACATAGGAGTGGTAAAAGAAAATCATAAGAAGGAAGTAGAAGACACACTTAAGAAAATGAGTTATATGATTTTAAAGATTCGGAATGAGAGACTGTCATCCCATTCAATCCAGTAACAAAGCTGTAGGACCAGATAACATACCTATAGAGGCATGGAGAATTTTAGGAAAAGCTGGTATTGAATGGTCAACATAGTTTTTTAACAAATTTTAAGAGAAGAAAAAAAATGCCAAGTGAGTGGAGGAAAGACACAGTAATATCAATTTATAAAAATAAAGAAGCTATACAAAATTGTGAAAATTATAGAGGAACTAAATAGATGTGTCATACAATAAAATTGTGGGAAAGGATAATTGGACAAAGATTAAGGAAATAACCAATTTGGATTTATTCTAGGTAGATCCACTATGGAAGCCATATACTTAATAAGACTACTTATAGGAGAATATTGGAGGAAACAAAAAGACTTACATATGTTTTTCATACATTTATAGAAGGCATTTGATAGAGTGTCGACATAATTTGGTGGACTCTACAAAGAAAACAAGTACCTATAAAACTTATAACTCTAATTCAAGATATGTGGTACAAGGGGTCTTGTCCCACATCGAATCTGGATGGGAAAGTGATTGGGTATATATGGGTAGGTATGCAGCACTACTTAACAACTTAAGCTTTTGGGTTAGAGGGCAAGCTCTCAATCCATTACAGTTAGTATAAGAGCCAGACCTAGTCCTCGATTCGGTGTCACTCCAAGCGCCTACCTGGGAGGTGTTTAGGTCAGTAGTTGGGTAGGTAGGGTGGCCTGACAGCAATGAGGGCGTTGCGAGTTTGGGTGAGGGAGAATGTTATAAGGGGTTTTGTCCCACGTCGGATCTGGACAGGAAAGTGATTGGGTATATATGGGTGGGCATGCACACTACCCAATAGCTTAAGCTTTTGGGTTAGAGGTCAAGTGCCCGACCCATTATAATATGTATAGTGAGACACTGACAAGAGGTTCATGCTATATGCAGAGAAGCTAGTGAATTCCTTATAAAAGTTGGACTACACCAAAGATTGGTGTTAAGTTCATATCTTTTTGTGAGTGTTAGAAGAAATAACGTAATATCTTCAAGAAAATATTCCATGGTGTATTCTACTTGCTGATGACATAGTCTTAGTAGATACCTCTAGGGAAGCCTTAGCAACAAAATTGGAAATATGGAGAAAGACACTAGAAGCAAGAGGCTTAAAAATTAGTAAAACTAAAACATAATATATTGAATGTAAATTTTATTTAGTAGTAAATGAGGACAATATAAAAATCACAATTAAAGACCAAAAAGTTACCCAAAATACCTGGGATCAATACTTATCAAAAAAAATACCTGGGATCAATATTACAAAAAAGATGGGAGATAGATGGTGATGTAGTTAGTAAGATTGGAGCTGGGTGGACGAAATGGAGGCAAACTAGTGGTATCCAAAGAATACATGGTATCAAAAAAATACCAACTATAAAAGGAAAATTCTATAGTTATTAGACCAGCTATATTGTATGGAGCAGAACGTTGGGAATTGAAAAATACAAAACAACAACACATCCATGTACCAGAAATGAGGATGTTACGTTGGATGATAGGAGTAACTAGAAAAGATAAGATTAATAATGAAGTTGTGAAGGGAACATTAGGTATAACACCCATAAATCATAAAATTAGAGAAAGTAGATCTAGGTGGTACGACCATATTCACCGTAGATCGCACTGGTTAGAAGAGGAAGAGTTGTTTACCTAGAAGGTAAACGAAAAAGTGGTCGACCAAAACTTACATGGGAGGAAGTAATTGAAAACGATTTAAAAAAAATAAATCTAAGAGAAGACATGGTATATAATATGAAAAAATGGAAAAGGAGAATTCATGTGGGCTAAAGGCAAGGATGATGATGATGATGTTATTCATGCGTGGCTGCACAAATCTCTGTTGGAGTTGTATACAAAGAGATAAATGTAATTAAAAATGCCTTTTTTTTAAGCCATACTTCTTAATAGCAACCGAAAAACCTTTTGACAAGTTTGGTTTTATCTTTTGACACATGCATTTGAGGTGGACATAAACTGTTATTTATTTATTTTTATTTTTTAATTTTTTTTTGATAAGTAAGGTGGACATAAATAGTTTTGGAAATGTTCGTGGGATTATTTATTTATTTTTTTGGTATGCTATGACGCATTAGATACTCAACTCAACTCAATGAAGAATTTTCCCTCTTAGTCTACCATTCCACTGTACCTAAGGCCATAATCTTATCGAATCACATGCCATCATATCTTTCTTAGCTAGACGTTTCACTATTCTTTTTTTATAATTATTCATCAGCAATTGTTTTCTTTCTCTTGGTAGGTAAGCTGGTGAAGAAGGTTTTCATGCTCAAACGGTGCTAAGTCTAGGTTTATGGTGCAACATTCTAGAAGACTACCAGCTAAGCTAGTATGCATTTTTTAACATTTATTGCACTATAAAAATCAAAGATTCTCAAACCAACCCTAAAATTTCCATTCTGGTTTCCTATATTTTAAAGATTTGTAAGATCTTATTATTTGCACATAAATGGTGCACGTAATACGGTAATAGTGGAAAGTTTACTACAGGTGCATCTGTATTGGTATGCTTACATGTGCATCTATTTTGGTAAACCATGCTAGTGTTTGAGAATAATTAATGGGATAATTATGCTGATCTCCCATGAGGTTTGTCCAAATTACTATCGGATTAAATTTTTTGACACATAACTCTGACACCCTAATGGATGGTTAACATTAGCAGTGAGTTTACCAAACTACCCTCAACTTTAATACTTTGTCATTCTGATGTAACTGACCCAAGATACCTTCCACATAACTTAATGACAGATCACCCTTACACTTTATTTTAAATGATAAACTTAACCTTCTTGAAAAGGACAAAGTTACCCTATGTCTTTAACTAAATTTTCATTTCATACCTTGATTTCTTTTCTTCAAAATCTCTTTGGGGTCTCTCTCTCTCTAAAATTTCTCTCATCTCATCTCTTTTTTTGTCTTATGCACTCCACCGCCACCACCTTCTTTTTGCCTTGTTCTCTCTTTTATCCACCCCTCCACCGCTTGCAATTTCGAATTTTACAAGACAACCATCCTGCCAACATCATACCCTCATCCACTGCCACTAATCACCACCTCCTCGATTCTCTCTCCTCTATTCATTGCCACTCTACCTCCTACCCTTTTCTTTCTCCTCTCCTCCCTTCCACAACCACCAATTCCTTCCACTCAAACTACCTCAATCACACAATTGTTTTATTGAATGCCCTCAGTTTAATTGAAGAAAAATTATTTGTCTTTCAGAAACCCAACCAATTTTCTGCCTTGCTTATGTTTGATCCCAAATTAGAGCATGCATTTGGATTAATTTTGAAAGATTTTTGTCCAACTGGTCCTAAATTTGATGAATGTCTTGATTTATGGGGAACTTCAAATGCACCCTGTAAATCTGTCCCAATCGCGAAATAGACCTTCTCTGCTTGATTTCCCATTTACTGGCTTGAACCACCCTTCTCCTTGAAGATGCCATAAAATTATTTCCATGTGATAATACATTGAAATGAATGAATTCTAGCCAGACCCGTCGCTTGAAAGTGATCCAAACGTTGGTAGAGCTAAGTCTAGACCTTGTGAAGGAGTTAAATGTGAAGAAATTGTGACAAAATTAATAGGGTGGCTGCTATGGAATGAATTGCGTAGTTAGAGGAATTCAAAAGACTGTTTGGCTTTGTCTTTTTCTTATGGTTGTATGACGGCCAAGTTCAGACTTTTTTTTTCTTTTCCCAATGGTGGCAAAGCCAGGTCCTCTTCATTGGTCTTTGATTTCTAGTAATCTGATTGAAGATTTGAATTTTATTGATATTTTCTTTAATGATTCTTTGAAAAAAATAAAGCACGACCCTAAGAATCTGGATACTAGGATATCAACCTAGTACACAGCTTCTGTAGATAGAGAGCGAGGAGTCGTGGTGCTGGTGGGGAGAGAGAGGGTGGGTGTGGAGGAGAGAGGAGCAGTCCTGAGTGAGTTTGGGGCAGTGGAGTAGGTGAGAGAGGGGCTAACGATGGTGGTGGAGGTGGTGTGAGCGTGATATATATATATATATATATATATATATATATATATATGACCTATTATATGTCTATATAGTAATGTGTGATCTGTGTGTTAAAATAGTAAAGATTATTTTGTGTTCAAAATGTTATTGTTTAAATTGCCATTCCATATCGTACCAATGGACATTATAGCCCAGATGGTATGCATCTTTATTTCCAAAAGGGGTGGTTGAGTGTTTGAGCTGTGCTAGGGGCAATATTGTGGGTGTGTGCATTTGCTTGAACTCTTTGAAAAAGAAAAAAGTGTAAATTTTAACCCAAGGGGTTGGCCTAGTTGGAAAAGTCTTGGGCCCGGTGCCTCATGAAGCATCAAGTCTCAGGATCCATTCCTGCTAGGTGCAAACAATTCCTTGGAGGGGTGGTGTGTGAGTACCAACTAGGAAAAACAGAAGTGTAAATTTTGTCACATTGCTGCACACAAGGACATTTTTGGCATTTCATTTTATTTTTTTAACTGGGTTTATGGGCATCTGATGGTTGGGGAGGTCAGAGTTATTTTCAAACAAACCTTAAGGGAGGTTGACCAAACTTTTTTCAGTAGTTTAATCCAAGAGAAATTGGGGCAAAAATCAAGGGAGGTCAGGGTAATTTACCCTCAAATAAAATACTTTAGGCAAGGTCTTACAGTGTAATTTTTTTTTTGCTTAAGTGCACCTTTAAAAAGTGATGCGATAATCAATGAAATTTACTTTTCTTGCATTTCCTTTTTTTGATGCTTTTGGGCATGTTATTTTGATTGCTTTATTTGTGACAGAAGAACAAGGTTACAGAGCTCAATGGACGGCGAGTTGCATGTAGAGCAGCAAGTCCCATCTGGGATCCTGAGAGGCATAAATTTCAATATCGTAACTGAGGCAGATGCAGTAAGTATTTGTTAAATTATATGGAAGATAATCTGTATAATTGTCCTTTCATGAATCTCAGATCAGATGGTAATAATGTTAATTCTGCTCTGATGTTTTTGGTCTGGTGGGGTACATCATTTGTATTAATGATCTTTCTGTTCAATAACCCTAATGTGAAAACATCAGATCAGCTGTCTCATTCTTGTATCCTATTATGTTTCATTAATGAATCCCTTTATATTTGGTAACTTTTTCTTTCTATTTAAGCTACGGGTAGTTAAATCTTACAAATCCTGATTTGAATTTATAAGATCGTTTGAGATAGCACCTCTTTGATATGAATTGTTAGGATGAAGCCCATGTCATAAGGAATCTTAATGAATCTACAGAAACCTAAAGGGAATTACATCATTTGTGATTTGAAAATGCTTTCTAGCAATTTGATACTCTATTAAACCTGACAACCAAAAAAACTCTCTTCTTTTGGCCATTTTTCTGTGTCAAACTAAGCTTCGCAAAGCCCTTTTAAGGGCATCAAGGTTTAAATACACCATTCTTTGCCTCTCCATATGAATTTCAAATCAAAAATAAAATTTTCACATGTTGTGCTCAAGAAAGGAAGCTTTGAAGCCATTTTTCTAAAGTTTAAAGAGGCTGTGATTTTAAGTATTTTATGGTGCTTTGGATTTCTTGATTGCTAAGTGAAAAGGGAAGTGAAAAAATGATCTCACACGGGATCATTTTACTGGTGTCAATGATTATTCTTTTATGTTATGATTTTAATATTGGTTTGGGGAAACAATGACATTGCAAGTGAGCCTTTAGTACTGTGGTTTTGAATGTATATTTTTATATCAAAGCAATAATATTATGATATTGTATCAGGAGAAGGCATCTGTCCTACAAATTGAAGCAATCAATGAGGTCACTGATCCAAAGTTGGGAGTGCCAAACCCAACTGGTCATTGCCCCACATGTGGTGCCAAAGATGCGAAGCACTGTGAAGGTGTAAATCAAGAACTTAAAGATTGTTTTTATATCTTGTTGTGTTCCTATCCTTCTTATTGTTACTTGAATCATGTCGTTTTTTAATTTTCATTTTGCAGGCCATTTTGGAGTAATAAGATTTCCATGCACAATACTCCACCCATATTATATATCAGAAGTTGCACAGATTTTGAATAAAATTTGCCCAGGATGTAAATCCCTTCGGCAGCGTAGGGTCAAGGTTAGGTAACTCAATCCATGTGCTGAGCCTTAAGATTGCTGCGCTATAAGGACGCATTTCTGTCATAGTTTTATGCGGTGTTTTTATGTTGGACCATTCAAGCCTTTTTTTTTCTCCCCAAAGTTCAAGCAAATGCGCACACACTCACAATGTTGCCCCTAGCAGGGCTCTAACACTCAACCTCCCCTTTGGAGAGAAGAGACCATACCATCTAGGCTATAATGCCCATTGGTACCATTTAACCATAATTTGTATTATTATTTTCCTTGTTTGCTGTCTTATTTCTCCTCAATTTGGTTCACTGGTTGCTGCTGCCTGATTCATAGAAGATGCATTTATCAAGTCACTGTCATGCCATACGAAAGATTGGAGAGTGCATTGGTTGAGATGATTATAGTCTTTAGTCAAATTATTATGTAAAATAGAGATGTATTGTATGCATTTAATGATGATAAAAGTTGCTGAATTGAAATAAGATGCTTACATGTATTAAGAGTAGCAAAAGATGACCCAGGTGAATCAAAAGGAGCATGACAATTATATAAGGAATCTTGGTGGTGGAATGAACAAGTCCAAAACGCCGTAAAAACAAAACGGGAATGCTATAAAGCTTGGCAAAAAACTAGAAATAGTAAAACCTTTTAAAAGTACAAAAAAAAAAATCAGCACGGAAGTTCTAAAAGTAGGAAGTGAAGCAAAATATAGAGAATATGGTGATCACTATCAAAATTAGGTACAAAAGATTGGGAAAAGAATATGTATAGACTTGTTAAACCTAGAGACTAGAAACTAGACATTTTAGCCATATTATGAAGAGCAAAATTTAAGGGTTTTAGTAAAAGTTGATAAAATTAAAGAAAGGTGGAAATCTTATTTTGAGGAATAGTTAAATGAAAATCATCTAGGAAGTTTAGTCTTTGAAGAATATAGTATACTGGGTATAACATAATTTTCCGCAGGGTCAGGAATGTGAGGTTAAAAGGGGACATACAAGATAATAAATTAACAGAATGTCTAACGAGTGCCATAAAAATATCGATCTATAAAAATAAAGGGGACATATAAAGTTGTAATAATTATCGTTTTTATAAATTATTGAGTCATACTATGAAAGTTCCAGAGAGAGAGAGAGAGAGAGAGACTTAACAACTATTAAGATGAGAAACTGAAGTGTCGGAAAATCAGTTTGGATTCATGCCGAGGAGGTTGATGATGGAGGCTATTTACTTATTGAGGAGACTAATGGAAAGATGTAGAGAGAAGAAGAAAGATCTCCATATGATTTTTATTGATTTAGAGGGGACTAAGAGGGTTCTTAGTGATCTAATAAGGGGCTTTTAGAGAATAAAGGAGTCACAAAGGGATATATTGACACATTAACGGACATGTATATTAGATGTGTGACTATAGTTAGAATGACTGTAGGAGAAAAAAATGAATTTCTAATTACCGTAGGCTTACATCAAGGGTCAGCATTAAGCCCATAATTTTTTGCCTTAGTATTGGAGGAGCCAACAAGATATATTCAAGATGATATTTCATGGTGAATGCTTTTTGCTGATGATATTGTTTTAACTGATGAGACTAAAGGAGTCCATGTCAAATTGGAGGTTCGGAGGGAAATTCTAGAATTTGAAGGCTTTACAATACATAGAAATAAAACTTAATATACGGAGTGTAACTTTAGGATGGAGTGAAAATTGTGGATCAAGAGGAACAAAAATGTGAAAATTTTCGTTATTTGGGCTCAATTATCCATATGGAAGGAGAAATAGGAGATGATGTTAATCATGGAATTAAGGCATGATGTGTTAAATGGAGGTGTGCTTCTAGTATATTGTGTGATTAGGGTATTCTGTTAAGATTGAAAGAAAAGTTCTATAGAACTGCTATTAGACTAGTCATACTTTATACTTTATGGGACAGAATGTTGGGCAGTTAGGAAACAACGTATGCGTAAAGTGAGTGTGGCAGGAATGCAAAAATTGAGATGGATGTGCGACAAGACAAGAATAGAATTTGAAGTGAATACATTTGTGAGACGGTTGAAGTAGATTGGAGATAGAATGAAAGAAAATCAATTAAGATGGTTTGGACATGTGCACAAAAAACATTTAAGTACACCAGTTTGGAGCTAGAAGGTGTAACATGGTCCTCATTGAGGGTAATGCTAGGGGAAGAGGAAGACCAAAGTTAAGGTGCTTAGGGTAAGGAAGGAAGGATATGATAATATATGGTTTGACTGAGACTATGGATTTAGATAGAGTGGAATGGAAGAATAGGATTCATGTAACTGAACCCCAAGTAGTCGAAAAAGGCCTTGTTTGTTGTTATTGTAAAAGTTGCTGAACTGGAGACAAAATGTTAAATTTATTTCAGTTTGGGATTCCTCTTCATATTATTCTTCTCTTTTGTTACGAAAAACGTTGCGAACTGAGAACAAATCAAGATTCATGACAGAAAAGTAAACACATCACACACAAAGAACACAAAGATTTATGTGGTTCGGCGTAAGCCTACGTCCACGGTGAAGATGTGGCGAAATATTTCACTATGCGAAAAATAGGATTACAAGTTTCAACCCCCAACCCCTAGCACTCTCTTTCACTCTATTTCTTGTGGTTTTAGTGTTCTCTTGTAATACACCCCAAACCCTAAACTCTGGCCCACGACCCACGAGAAAAAAGGGTCAAAGAAAATTTTTAGTCCGAAAACGGGTCGCAACACGACCCACCGAAACAAAATCCGGGCTACAACTTCACATCTTTCAACTAAATTTACTTAGTATTGACTGTAGAGTATGTTGATCCTTAGATTGAATGACTTTGATCATGTTGTGCCATAATATTTTTATCATCAGTTTTGATTGAGATCTTCTCTTCGGGTTCTTTGCTTGCTTGTTTTGAAAGTTGATTTACGTGAACATCGTGAAGCAATATGGGAAAGTTTTGTTTGCTGTGATTCTGTTATCTGTAAAAATATAGAGTTTATGTAATATTAGTAAGGGAAAAGAAACAAGTGAAAGCATTCGGCTGGTGCTTTGGAAGATTTATATGACCTTAAAATTGAACAGTCAATGGAAGATTAGGAAGGCAACAACACTCAATTGTTTAATAGGCTTCTTTGTTGAAGAACTTAAGAGTTCACATATAAACCAAATTTGATGAATAATTGGAGAAAATTTCGTTAGTACTCATTGGAAGGCAATAGATTGGAACTTGATCATGAGAACATTGAAGTGCTTCATTTAAGAGTATCAACCTCTAGGGTAGGTAATCATCCTTTTAAAGGAATCCATCTGGTTATAGTGAAAATTGGTTTGCAAGGTGGCATACCATTCATCATTTAACTTATGGTATTCTGAAGCTTCACCATTTATTTAAGATGCTAAAGGGCTAGCCCAGTGCATAAGGCTCCTGCCACTGCAAGTTCGGGGGTGGGGTTGATGTATGCAGCCTTACTTCCGCATGCGGAGAAACTGTTTCCTGCTTTGAACCTGTGACCTCCAGGTCACAATGAAGCAGCCTTACCTTTGGGCAAAGGCCCGCCTATCTATTTATAATGTTAATGTAAAAAAATTTATTTCTGCTGCAGTGTTTTCCTTTGACGTTTCATGGTACTTGGAGTGACATTTTTGCTAATTCAAAGTCTGTTGACATTCTTGTTGTCTCGATTTATTTCTAATACACAGATGTTGGAAATTATATGATGTATTCTATTCAGGATCTATGTTCAATTATTTGTTATAGCTAAACGTGCTTAATATAAATATTAGCCCCACCTTTATTAGATGTTGATCTTAAAACAACTTTCACGGCTAGCTAAATGTTTGGTTTCTAGTTGTTTGCTTGCTGATGACGGTTCTCCTGTATAGGGCGCTGATTCAACATCAAGACAGCGCCAGGCTAGAAATTGCAAATATTGCGATGTAAGTTTCTTTGGCAATTATTATGCACTTTGCTCCTTTTACCTTCATAATCTTCAAACTCATGTTTTATTTTTCCTTTTGCCTATGTAATTTCTGAACTCATTTTTTTGTCTGATCAATAGGGAAGCATCAAAGACTTCTATCCAAGAATGAAATTTAAAGTTTCCATGAAAGATATGTTTGGGAAGACCGCAATAATAGCTGAAGTCAATGAAAACTTGTTGAAGAAGGTTCGAAGTAGAGGTTCTAGGGAAGTTCTGGCTTCTGATTATTGGGATATCATTCCAAAAGATGCACAACAAGAAGAAAGTTTACTGAAACCAAACAAAAGAGTCCTATCACATGCCCAGGTAGGATTCACCAAAACCTTTTTTTCACTTGTGTGCACGTGTCAATCTTTGCATCTTTCGTTCTTTCTTTTTCAATTTTAAGCTTCTTTTTCTCCCTCTTCCTTTTTATTTGTTGGGTTTAAATTATATCTTCACACCCCTTGAACTACGTCCAATATTACTATGCACCCTGTAAATTTTACAATGCGTCAAAGTACTCGATAGAACGATAAAACTTTGGAGAGACGAAACTAAACAATGGGATTAATAGAAAATGATGAATTACAACATTATGCCTTTCAACTATTTTTGTGCAGCATCTTTTATTTTACTTTTTGCTTCTTTCAGTTAATTCTTCTCCTAAATCAGAGCCGTGTCTTGCTAGTGATAATATTTTCATGAACCATGTTTACGGTTTTAGCATTTGTAATAAGCCATGTGACACGTGCGTCAATGGAAAACAGTCTGGAACAAACCTATGTTGAAGCACCCTAACATTGTCATCTCTATGTATATGAGGCACCAGGAGGGCCAAGTGACTTGCCCACTTGTGCCAACCCGTTGGGGTTCACTATTGATTTTTTCAAAATATGTTGCCTGGACTGGTGTAGGAGTGTTGGTGTATGTATGTATGTGTCTAAGCATCAGATTTACCCAATCCCCAAGACCAAAGACAAGTGGACGTTGTTGAATATTTATATTTATTAGGGTAAAATACACCGACTCCCCTGAGGTTTGGTGAAATTACACTTGGCATGGAAGTTAGAAAAAGTTCTATCGTATTCCCTTGAACTTTGGCATGTGGTAACAGTAACCACTCTTTGTCCAAATTTCCATTTGCTCCGTTATAAAATTGAGTGTGCTGACCAAAATACCCTTTAACCTGTTTGTACATGCTTCTTACTAATACTCCGTAGAATGGATCTGACTTTTAATCCATTCTATGGAGAATCTATAGATACTATCTTTTCTTTATTCACTTATTAGCCAAGGACTTTTTCCAAACACAAATATTGTCTAATTTTTTCTTTGAACTGCTGAAAGTCTCTCTCTCTCTCTCTCTGAAGTTGTACATGCTTCTTACTAATGCTAACCATGTTCCTATTTATGATGCCATGTTTTCTTTTTTCCTTTTTAGGTTTATCATATGTTGAAAGATGTTGATCCGAGGTTTCTTAAAGAGTTTATTTTAAGCAAAAATTCTCTCTTTCTCAGTTGTTTCCCTGTAACTCCCAATTGTCATCGCGTGTCAGAATTTGCGCAACATATGATCTTCGTGAGTAAAAAATATTTTTAATGGCTCTTTTGTCTTTGTTGATATGCTTGGCGAATCTTAAGATCTTATGCGACTCCTTTTTTTTCTTTTCTACATTTTTGCTTGTACGTGGTAAATGGTTTCAGGATGAGCGCACGAGGGCTTACAAAAAGCTGGTTGATTTTAGAGGAACCGCCAATGAGTTGAGTTTGCGTGTTCTTGACAGCCTAAAATCCTCCAAGGCAAGTGGCACTGTGTTTCCTTTGACTCATTTAAGTCACTCTTTGAGTAATCTCATGCTAATGGCATACAGTTGAACTTATAATACTGCAGATACACTCTGAAAAATCATCAACTAATGATTCTGCTTCCTATTTACCAAAAAAGGATTCTGCTTCTAGTATGTCTGGCTTGAAATATATCAAAGAAGTGCTTCTTGGGAAGCGAAGTGATCATGCCTTCCGCATGGTCATTGTTGGCGATCCAAATATAAAGCTCAGTGAAATTGGATTACCATGTTATATTGCAGAGAGGTTACAAATATCTGAGCAATTGAATTCTTGGAACTGGGAGAAGCTGAACACTTGCTGTAATCTACGCATTCTTGAAAAGGGAGAGATTTTTGTTCGCAGGAAAGGTGGTCTGCTTCGTGTAGGTTTTATGGATAAATTGAAGATAGGGGACATTATATATAGGCCCCTGATCGATGGAGATATTGTCTTGATAAATAGGCCTCCATCTATTCATCAACACTCCTTAATTGCTTTATCTGTTAAGGTGCTTCCCATAAATTCAGTTCTTTCAATAAACCCTCTTATCTGTTCTCCTTTTCGTGGGGATTTTGATGGTGATTGTATTCATGGTTATGTTCCTCAATCAATTGATTCTAGAACTGAGCTCCATGAGCTTGTTTCTCTGAACAAGCAGCTAATTAACAGACAGAGTGGTAGAAACCTTCTTTCCCTAAATCATGATAGTTTAACTGCAGCCCATTTGGTTGTCGAAGATGGGGTAGTCTTGAATCTTTTCCAAATGCAGCAGCTGCAGATGTTCTGCCCTCGTCAGCTGGAATTGCCAGCAATTGCAAAAGCAACTTCACCAGATGCTTGTTTTTGGACTGGGAAGCAATTATTTAGCCTTCTTCTGCCCCCAGAATTTGAATATGCTTTTCCGTCAAATGGTGTTTATATAAGTAAGGGGGAGCTTCTATCTTCATCTGATGGATCTTCCTGGCTACGTGACTCTGATGGGAACCTTTTCCATAGTCTTGTCAAACATTGCCAACAGAAGGCTCTTGACTTTCTCTATGCTGCCCAGGAAGTTCTTTGTGAGTGGTTGTCAATGAGGGGCTTGAGTGTTTCCTTGTCCGACCTTTACCTCTCTTCTGATTCACACTCTCGAAAAAATATGATCGACGAAGTCTCTTGTGGTTTGCGTCAAGCAGAGCTGATCTCCCATATCAAACTATTGATGGTGGATTCCAATCAGGATTTCCTTGTTGGAAGTGGTGAGGAAAGTGAAAGTGCTGTTGATTTTGGGGTGGAGCGCATGTGTTATGAAAAGCAGAAGTCAGCGGCACTTAGTCGAGCTTCAGTCTCTGCTTTTAAGCAAGTGTTCTGGGATATTCAGAATTTAGTCTACCAATATGCAAGTAAGGACAATTCTTTACTGGCTATGTTAAAGGCTGGAAGCAAAGGCAATTTGATGAGATTAGTCCAGCATAGCATGTGTCTCGGTTTGCAGCATTCATTGGTTCCATTGTCTTTCAGAATTCCCCACCAGCTTTCTTGTGCTGCTTGGAACAACCACAAGGCACCTGCCTCAACTCAGAAGACTAACAATATTTCTGAATGTGCTGGGCCTTTCATCCCGTACGCTGTGGTTGAAAATTCTTTCCTCACAGGCTTAAATCCTCTTGAATGTTTTGTTCATTCATTAACAACTCGAAATAGTTCCTTTAGTGACAATGCCGATCTTCCTGGGACTTTGAACCGGAGGCTTATGTTTTTCATGCGTGATATATACATTGGATATGATGGAACTGTGAGAAATGCTTATGGGAATCAACTTGTTCAGTTCTCCTATGATATTGAGGCCATCTCTTCGAGTAATGATACTGACTGTTCCTTTGATGACAACACTAATGCTTGTGGTGCAATGGCTAGCGAACCTGTTGGTTCATTGGCTGCTTGTGCCATTTCTGAAGCTGCGTACAGTGCTTTGGATCAACCAATTAGTGTACTTGAAACATCGCCTCTTCTAAATCTTAAGGTGCTATATCTCTTTCCTCCACCAATTCCATAAAAACATTTCTAAATTTTTAGAGCTTTATTAATTTTTAGGTATAGTGACAAAGTTAATTTAAAGAAGTTCCATGTCCAAGCATCTAATTATTAATTCCTGAATCTAACAGAGGATGAACCCAATGGTATCCCCAAATTTCTGGAAAAAAAAAAAAAAAATCACAAATAGTTATAATTGCGTAAGCTGATCTATTAAAACTTCTGTCAATTGGTTTATTTGATAGGTGGTGATGTTTGAAATTCTTTTTCCTATTTTCCTTATATATATCTAACCTTTATGGAAGGGGGTCAGTTCTGGGAATTTAGTAGCATGCTGTGGGTTTTGTTTGAGAAGTTCAATTTGTCTCCCTTTTTTGTCCTCTCCTTTTTTACCTTAGTCCTGATACTATTGTGTCTTAGATGATAATGATTCATGAGCTTGCACAAACAAAAATGCATAAGGTTGACTTTTCTTGGCAAACTATAATTAGTTATATTCCCTTTCTTATACTACACATATTTTTTTTATTATCAAGTTTCACTTATAAAGTAACTCAAGAGAGGTGCTTGATTATTTGTCAGTTATGCTTCCACCTTATGCAGTCATTATTTTGTGTCATGTGTACATGACGTGTTAGTGCTTGACATGACATAAAAATATGCCTTGGTAGGAGTGTCCCTGTTCATAGTGTACATGGACAATCAGATACATTCCATGCTCACACACAATGCACAGACACATGTAAGGATCATTATTTCTTTTTATTTTGATTCACATGTATATTTATGTGCTGAAGGGGCTTTGATGCATATTGCGTCAACCATAATACACGAGCAATGACAAATTAGATGAGTTCCAAATTTTCTAAGTCTGATATGAGAATATGGTGTCATATTTAGCAAAATGTGAACTGCATGTTTCATTTATTCAGTAGCATATTCAAGTTTTCTATTAGTATATATATATATATATCCTAATGCTGCACTGTAAACAAATTCTATGGATTCTCTCACATACATATAGGCAAAAAGTTATCCAAGGTTTAGCAAGTTTTTGTTAAAATAATGTGATGTCAAAATTTTCTAACATTGATTAATACTGTCCAACTCTAGGAAAAGAGATTTGGGGGTTAGAGTATCTGATGCATAACCAATACAAATACTTTTCTTGATCTGAATAATCTTTCACACCCTCTAGGACTGTATGAATGAAAGAGCCACTTTTTAGAGTGTAAACTTTAGTGACTTAGAAGCTTGTTTGTTGTTTTAATGAGACGAAGCATAAGAAGTACTTATCCACTGGTTAGGTTGTATGCAGACGGGGTAATTGAATTTTAGCAAGTGCTAAAGTTACATTTAATTGAGTATTGAAGCTGGAATTTTTTTTGATAAGTAAGAATTTTATAAAAAGCGCTCAAAAGGGGAGCGAAACCCATGGAAACGAGATGAAAAAGCCACAAAAAGCCTCAAGCCTTCAAAGAGGCCAAAAAAATAATAATCTCCTCAACAGAACGATAATCTCTCCCTGAGACCCAACAAAAAAGAGTAGAAATAATAGAGAACTTAAGCATAGAAATGGGTTTCTCCTTGCTATCAAAATATCTCCGATTCCTCTTTTGCCAAATGCACCACCAAACATAGAGAGGGGTAGCTCTCCAAGCATCCCGGATGAGCGCCCCAACTGAGAAACCTCTCCAAGCCTCAATCAACTCTCTAGAGGAACAGGGTATAACCCAGGGGACCCCAAATAACCCAATCATCATATCCCAACAATCTTTGGCCATACTGCAATGCAACAGAAGGTGATCCATTATCTCCTCATCGCGTCGACACAAGTAACAACGATTGATAACCACCTGCACTCCTCCTCAAACTATCCTGGGTTAAAATCCTACCCAAGACAGAAATCCAAGCAAAGAAGGCCACCTTACGGGGAGCCTTGGAGCGCCATATAGCCTTCCAAGGGAAAATGCCACCCTCCCCAACAGAAAGGCACCTGAAAAAGTATCTCACCTCGAATCGACCTTGAGGGTGTGGACTCCAAAGCCAAGTAGCCAACAATCAGCCTCTCATGAGAGATCACCTGTCGATACAGTAACTCCAAAAAACGAGTGACCTCCTCAATTTCCCAATCCTGAAAATGCCTCCTAAACTGAACGTCCAAAGGTAGTCTTCCATTATCAAGATGATAATAGTCAACCACCAAGGCCTGCCTGTTAGAAGCAATCCTGTAAAGCCGAGGGAAAGAAAGAGCAAGGGGAAACTCCCCACACCAAAGGTCCTCCCAAAATCTGATCCTCCTACCATCCTTGATCCGAAAGCGAACATGATTACAAAAAACGTCCCATCCCTTTCGAATGCAAGTCCAAACCCCCACACCCCTAGGACCACGCACCTCAAGAGAACACCACCACCGCTGATTTCCCCAAACTTGCTGGCAATAACTTTCCTCCAAAGCCAATGCCTCTCGACCCCAAACCTCCAAAGCCATTTCCCAAGAAGAGCCCTATTGAATTTAAAAATTGGGTTATAGATCCACCGAAGTAGAAAGCCTTAACCGGATGTGTTAACAGGTAAGCCCGAAGGCTGTTCCCGTCCCTGTCAGGGGAGATGCCAACCATCTCTCCTTTCTACGAACACCTGCAAATCATTGTACAACCCTAAAATAAAGTTTAGTGTGGCTGCTGGGATTTTAACAGCATTCTAATTTAAATGCTTAAGTTGTTGAAGTGTTCTGTAATTAGCCCCTGACAGGTACCCAAACTCTTCTAGTCTTCTTCATGAGTGGGTTATCGTGTAACCGTATTATAGCTTTCAGGGAGTTGTCTATATTTGAACATAGTATCTTTCTACTATCATACCACGATAACAACAGATTACTTTAGAAGTTTAATCTGTTTCGAGAGCTTTGCAATTTATTTTATTTATTTCATCAACAACTATTGTGTTATTCTGAGAGTACCTGACAGAAATTAATGGAGTCCAATATGATTGTACAGAAAACACTGGAATGTGGTGTGAAAAAAATTAGTGGTGATAAAACTGCTTCACTGTTCTTGTCCAAGAAACTTGGAAGATGGACATATGGTTTTGAATATGGAGCTTTAGAAATTCAGAATCACTTGGAGAGACTACTCTTTTCAGACATTGTTTCTACTGTTATGATATTGTAAGTTATTTATTTATTTATTTTGGGTAATTTTGTAAGTTGTTATTTTCTTTTTTAATTTGTTATCTTTCCTTTTCGATTGTACATAATGATTCATCTCTTTCTTTCTAATTGATGTGCCCTGTGGGTACTAGCTTCTCCCCACCGACTCATGGCCGTACACATAGCAGTCCATGGGTTTGCCATTTTCATATTTGTAAGGTATATTACTATCTAAAAAATACATCTTTTCTGTATCTTTTTTAGTCCATTCTCTGGCATAAATTTGTGGTCTTTCAGGAAATAGCAAAGAGGAGAAGACTGAAACTGGATTCTGTCATTGATGCTCTCTGCGTGAATTACAATTCGTCCAGAATGAGACTAAAAAACAACCTCCCAAACTTGCATATAACAAGCAAGTAAGCTTTTTTCCCATAGAACTATGGTTTTTAGTCGCTGAACATAAAGCTTAATTATGGTTTGGTGAACTCCACGTACCATGCTGTGTACATAGACTGGTTCAGATATATGACTTTGAATATTTATCATATGAAATCGTTTTGGGTTGTTGGCATTCCATAGACTCACACATCTACAGATTATTGTTGGCTGTAGCTTTAGTGTCCTACATTTTACATTGTTGATTAATTTGCAGGGATTGTGGTGTAACTGACAAGCAGAAAGAAAATGAGGCCACATTTTGCATTACAGTCACAATAGTTGAAGGCTCCAGGAACTCCTGTGTACAATTAGAGAACCTTCGAGATACGGTGATACCATATCTTCTTGGAACTGTTATAAAAGGTTATTATTGAACTAGATATATCACTGCTACGTCAACCTTCATTTTATGTGAAGTTCATTTCTCTTGTTCGGTTTATTATTATTCAATGAATGTTCTACTTTTGCTTCTAAGGTTTATGCGCAAAGAATGAGAAACGGAGACAAGGGATCAAATCTCCTGTCACCTTTGTTGTGAAGCACAAGGCTTTTATTTGGATCATGCTTCACCCCTGGAATTTTGCCTATGTTTGATATGTGCCCCTCAAGAAAGGAAAAGGGCTTTTTAATTTTTTTTTTAATTTTTTTATTATAATAATTATTATTTTTTATTGGTGTTGGTTGGGGGGGGGGGGGGGTGTTTCTTACAAATTTAAGACATATAGTTGTAGGTACACGACTCCCCCATTACACATGGCACCGAGGTGGCAGTCGACGTGTTATCCTTGCAACTAGACATGTGACATTCCCAATATTTACAATCTAGTCAAAATTATCTTTCTCTACGTATGCTGCTTGTGTAGCATGATAAACCAAGTCCAGTGACCTCGAGACTACTCATAGATACCAAGGCATAATAGATTATTGTACCATGAAGGAGGCTATATCTCCACATTCTGATGACCGTGAGATTCTCTCTTCTTCGCCAGTCTACCTTATTCTTTATTATTCTCAATTTAAATTTGTTAATCGACTGACTCGTCTTATGACTACCATAGCAAGTTCATTTCCAAAAAGATTATATTATCTTCAACTAGTCATTATTTAGAATATTTTTTACCATTGAAGGATTTAAATATTAAAGTTTCACCCTCTCTAATAGCTTAAGCTTTTGGAGTAGATGATTGTTAACATGGTATCAGAGCCTAAGGTCTCGAGTTCAAGCCTCAACGTCAACCTAATTAAAAATTGAAAAACATGCGTTGGACCAAAAGAAGGCCACACGTGAGGGGCGTGTTGAAGGGTATAAATATTAAAGTTACACCCTCTCTAACAGCTTAAGCTTTTGGAGTAGATGGTTGTTCACAGTTACCCTGTCTTCTCCACAAGCTCATGGCTAATTTTCAGTTGAATTCTCTTGTCTCATTATTAGCTTATATGCTTACTCCTGGCTCAGTTGCCGCGTCAGTAGAATAAGCTTTGGCAGATATCTCCTGCTCTGGGTACATGACCTGCCTCTTCCACAGGCTTATGCCTTTGACATGGCTTCTTTGCAGTCTTCTTTGGCCCTGTAATCCGTCTCAACTCTGGTTAATCGCTTTTATATTTAATTTAAGCCCTTGTATTTATTTATTAGTATTTCATAAATTTGAAAAGGAGTAAAGGACCTAAATTTGTGATGTAACTTTATAATTCCCCAATTGATTTATTTATCAAAAAATAATAATTCCCCAATTGATTTAAAAATACACTTGACCCATCCTCATAATATTTCTTATAACAAGTTACCATATTCAATTTTTGGATACTTTAGCAATGTCCCTTTACACATGGAGGTGACAAGGATAGGACAGTTAGTCAAGCAACAAACCTGACACGCATGCCCGAAACGGAAACTTGCACTTGTTTCTGGGTAACATAGCCTTTTGCACTACCTGTATTAGGAGCAATATTTGAGGGCCTTCTACATCTTGATTTGCAGCTATAATCATTGCCGTCTTTTAAGTACACGGACATGTCATAACTATCTGCATAGTTACCGTCATGACCCACTTAGTGAAACATGAGCATGTCATAAATTTCTGGAATTTCAGGAATGTGGCTGATGTATAGAGCTTGCCAGGTGATCCTTTCTCAAGGTCTGTGTCCAGCATTACTTGGCTTAAATTTGTTTGGACAATATGCTCTATATGACATGATGACACCATATTGACCACATTTACCATGTATGGCTATTGGCCGAGGGGCTGTCCCATTGACGTGTGGAGGATCCTAGTGAACTGTGCTCAAGCTTGTTGCGGATGTCCATTTTCTTTGTGCGAACCCTATCGCTGCCATAGCCACCCCTAATACCAAAATGCTTCCTTTGTACATTGTCCCATTTTACCAGACATTCATCGTGCATATGGTGGTATACAATTGGATTATATGAAGCATAGCACGATTTATTGAGTCTTGAGACTGTCAAGTTGCACGAGCACTGCGTTTCTCTTACTTATAAACTATAATTAGACTTCCTACACCGAAGGCATATATTATATTTGACTTAGATCGTATCGAATATGTGTTTGTACTGTTACTTTGTAGACACTGGTGTTACATTCCACGTGGCTTGGTTTATATATATATATATATATATATTTTGATAAGTCAAATATATAAAAACCGCTTAAAAGTGGAGCGGATCCCAAACATACAAAAAGGCCAAAAAAAACAACTCAAGCCTTCAAAGAGGCTAAAAAGAGAACAATCTCCTCAATAGATCTATAATCTCTCCTTGAAACCCAACAAAAAAGAGTAGCATAGCAACAGGCTTCTCCTTTCTGTCAAAATATCTTCTATTCTTCTCGAGCCAAATGCACCACCAAATACAGAGAGGTGTAGCCCTCCAAGCATCCCGAATGAGAGCCCCAGCTGAGAAACCTCTCCAAGCCTCAATCAAACCTCTAGAGGAACAAGGCATAACCTAAGGAATCCCAAACAAACCAAGCATCAAATCCTAACAAGCTCTAGCCATGTTGCAATGTAACAAAAGGTGATCAAACGTCTCCTCATTGCAAAGGCACAAGTAACAACGATTGACCACCACCTGATTCCTCCTCCTCAAATTATCCTGGGTTAAAATCCTACCCAAGACAGAAGTCCAAGCACAGAAGGCCACCTTTAGGGGAGCCTTAGAGCGCCAAATAGATCTCTAAAGGAAAGGACCACCATCACCAACCGTAAGGCACCTAAAAAAGGACCTCACCTCGAACCGACCCTGAGAATCAGGATTCCAAAGCCAACAATCCTACTCCCCATGAGAAATCACCTGACGATACAGCAACTCCAAAAAATGAGTGACCTCCTTAATCTCCCAATCCTGAAAGTGCCTTCTAAACTGAACATCCCAAGACAGTCTTCCATTATCAAGATGATAACAGTCAACCACCAAGGCCTGCCTAACAGAAGTAATCCTGAAGTGCCGTGGGAAAGAAAGAGCCAGGGGAATCTCCCTACACCAAGTATCCTCCCGAAATCTGATCCTCCTACCATCCCTGATTAGAAAACAAATATATTTGTAAAAATCATCCCACCCCTTCCGAATGACAGTCCAAACCCCCACTTCCCTAGGACCACGCACCTCAAGAGAGCTCCACCCACCACTACTCTCCCCAAATTTGCTCGTAATAACTCTCCTCCAAAGCCACTGCCTCTCAACCCCAAACCTCCAAAGCCATTTCCCAAGGAGAGCCTTATTGAAGGGCAACAACCTTGTAATACCTAAGCCTCCACTCCGAATTGGGCAACACACTTGCTCCCATCGAACCAGATGATACTTGAACTCCTCAGATGATACTTGAACTCCTCATCTCCCCCCCCCCAAAAAAAAAGGGAATATTGCGCTGCAATCTCTCAATTCTCTCATCCACAGAGGAAGGAATCTGAAAGAGCGAGATGAAATAAGTGGGGAGCCAAGAAAGGGTACTCTTAATCAGAGTAACCCGCCCCCCTTGAAGAGGAATTGCTTCTTCCAACCTGCCAGCCTCTTCTCAAATCTATCCACAACTGGATCCCAGCTCCCCACGCATCTCGACGGGGCTCTTAAAGGCAATCCTAAATAAGAAATAGGGAATGACCCAGTGCGACATCCAAGAATCTGAGCAAACCTCTCAATATCAGGAACATCCCCAACCGACACTAAGACACTCTTACCGACATTCACCTTGAGCCTTGAGACAACTTGGAACCAAACCAAAACGTATCTCAAATGTCTCAATTGGGACTCGTCAGCATCACAAAGAACAAGAGTATCATCCGCAAACATCAAGTGAGAGATCTCTATTTGACTGGCCACATCCCTGCCCACCTGAAAACCACTCAAAAGACCCAACTCAACAGCCCTTTTCAACAGTCTGCTAAGTGCCTCCATCACAAAAAGGAACAGGAAAGGAGAAAGTGGATCCCCCTGTCTCAAACCTCTCGAGCTAGAGAAAAAACCTGTCGGAGCACCGTTCACAAGAACAGAAAAACGAACACTAGAAATGCAAAAAAGGATCCATTTCCTCCATCTCCCCCCAAACCCCATCCTTTCCATCAAGTAGATAAGAAAGCTCCAACTCACATGGTCGTACGCCTTTTCAATGTCCAACTTGCACAAAACGCCCGGAACCCCACTGTTCAATCTGGAGTCCACACATTCACTGGCAATAAGAACTGAATCCAAAATCTGATGACCTCCCGCAAAAGCATTATGAGAATCCAAAATGACACCATCCAAAACCTTCCTCAGCTTAGAGGCCAAGACTTTGGCAATCAACTTATAGAAGCAACTCACCAAGCTAATGGGGCAAAAATCTTTAACATCAAGCGCCCCTCCCTTTTTCGGAATGAGGGCAATGAAAGTGTCATTCAAACTCTTCTCAAAAGAGCCCTGAGCATGGAAAGCGTGAAAAGAGCCCATCACCTCCTCACAGACCACCTCCCAACACTCCAAAAGGAATCTCAAGGAAAAACCATCAGGGCCTGGGGATTTATCCTTGTTACAGCTCTTCAAAGCAGACAAAACTTCCTCTTTAGAAAAAGGCTCCTCCAGAGTAGAGCACTCATCACTCGAAATAGAATCAAAATAAAGCCCTGCAAGCAACGGTCTCCAACTAACTGGTTCTCTGAACAACAAAGAAAAGAAAATCAACAAAACCCTTACAAATCTCCACCTTCTTACTCAACCTCCCCATCCATCCGAATCCTCCCAATGTGATTGCCCCTTCTATGAGCATTGGCAAGACGATGAAAAAATTGTGTTATTGTTACCTTTCTTGAGTCATAAAGCTCTAGATTTTTGCCTTCACGAGATCTCCTCCATGACAGCAATCTCAGCAAACTCCGCCTGACACTCCACCCTCCTAAGTTTCAAGGAATCCGTCAAAAACCCCTGACCCTCCATTCTATCAATATCTGCAATCTCAGAGAAAACCCGATTCTTCCTCCAAACCAGATTTCTGAAGACCTCCTTGTTCTAAACTTTCAGATCATTCTTCAAAAAACGCAGCTTACCTGCGAGGGAATGACTTGGGGAACCAACCACTCCATAGCCCACCCACCAGGATCGGACTCGCTCCAGAAAACCCTCAGCCTGAAGCCACATATTCTCAAATTTGAATGGGGATCTTCGACTACGCAACCCACCACAATTTGATATCAATGGAACATGGTCAGATAACGGACGAGCCAAAGTGGCCTGAACAACATCTGAAAAATGTTCCTCTCAATCACTCGACACTAGGAACCTGTCAAGTCGAGAGAGAGTAGGAGGAGAGCGACCATTGGACCAAGTAAAGGGCCCAACAACCAAAGGCAAATCAATCAACCTAAACACATCAATGAACTTCGAAAAAGACTCCATCTCAGCTGTCCACTTGCCCCCCGAAGACCTCTTAAAAGGAGATCGCACAACATTGAAATCCCCTCCAATAAACCAAGGCAGCAACCATCTCCTACGGACCTCACCCAGTTCTTCCCAAAGCAAATGACGAACACTATCCTCTGTAGGACCATAAATACCAGAAAAAACCCACTGAAAATCATCCTCCATCACAGAGAAGATACATGAAGTAGAGCAAATCCCAACCTGAGACTCCAACATAGCCCCACACACACACACACACACACACACACTACGCACAATCAAATCCGTCATCTCCGCAATTTTTGTTTCTTGAAGACACACAATATGCCCACCCCCTTTCTGAATCACCGACTTCACCACTTTTCTTCGAACCGGGTCATTGAGACCTTGGACATTCCATGAAAGAATTTGTAGCTTCATAAGGAAACAATTGGGTTAACATTCTCTCCCCTCCCTCCACAATCCCTCTCCCTAGATCCCTTAGTTCTCCTTTCATAAGTGACAAGAGTCGTTGGGCTCAAAAGCCCCCTCTCATCCACCCCCATTGGAAAATCTCCTCTACTCCCCCTACACCCCATTCTCTCAATGTGCTGAGAATTAAGAACTTCAAGAAACACATAAGTTGCCTCCTCCATACGACTGTTAAAAGAAACTTCCAACCGAGAGCCCACCTCTACCCCCTTTTCTCTCAACCAAACATCTTCCACATCAGCCACTCCTGTAGCTAAACCATCCCCATCCGCCCCCTCCTCATCAGGTCTAACAACAGCTAAAGGAGTAAAAAAATCAAAATCAGTCTCACCCCCATTCCATTGAACCAACCCCAATTCCTCAAGGAGAGAAGGACACAACCCATTCTCTCCCTCCTCGGGAACCGACGAACATGGTGAGCTGCAAGCAAGTGGAGTTCCACAAACCTCTGCAGCCACAGGATCACTCGGCTCACTTGAAGGCCTTTCAAGACTAAATGAGACCGCAAATAACTCAACAACACAGCAGCAGTAGCATCATCCAAGAATGTTGTCTGGACTCAAATTAACATTCACAAGGCCCTAATCAAGAGGAGTGCCTGGTGGAGTTAGACTGCCATTCTCTCGTTCTCTTTTTGTGGGTTAGTCACCAGGGATCTCTACTACGTCGGGAGTAATACTTCCATGTCATATTCATTTGTAAGAACACACAATATCATTTCCTTTACTTTTTCTTATGTTAGCATGCATAAATTAGAACTCAATTAATTGTTTTTCTTGGCCCAGTTGAAGCTCTGAACGACAGCAAAAGCTTTAGTTGGCATTACAGGCTATCCTATTAAAAAACTTAATTGGAATTCAATCCATTTTGGTCCTGTTCATGAACTTCTTTGCAATTTTTTTCTGGTAATTCGAATTTGCAGTTTAGAGTGATTCCAGGATGAGATTTTTGTTTTCTAACCTTAATAGTGTTAAAAGCCTATATTTGCAATATTTTTTTGTTCAATTTAGCTTTGCACTGTGAGTCAGAAAAGAGTAATTAGCTCATAAGGAATATCACCCAGTAGATACAATTAGTGTCTTAACTTTTTCCTTTTCTTTTCAGGGAGGTTCGAACCCTTTTATTTTCTCTTTCCTTTAAAACTGAAATTTTATTTATTTTATGGAGAATGGATATTATATCATGAACATGCAATGGTTTACGTTATATTTAATGAGCTTTAATTATCTGTTTCTTTTGATGTTTAGGTTTCTATTTTTATTTTAACCCCTCCAACACAGCATAAATTTTATATGACATTATACTTTACTATTTGTGTCAGTTTTCATTCTGTATGTCATAACTAATATACGGTATTATATCCTAACAATGATCTAAAACTAGAAATATATCGGTTTGATATCTAGAGGCATTGGTGTTGAGCTTTACATGATAGTGGAGCTCATGCAAAGGCAATCTAGAAAGGAGTTGGTCATACTTTTCTAGCTTGATTGTGCTGAACTTTGTGAATTACCGTTCCACCAGGATTAATATTGAGTAGAGTCTACATTCACCTGTAACTATTAATCTCTACTGTCAAAAACACAAGCTTCTTGTAATTCGGTAGGTTGATTTTGGAAAGGTATTTCAATTTCATATATTCATCTGTGATGATTTTTTTATTTTTTGATTTTATTTATTTATTTTTTTTGTAGTAAATTCATCTGTGATGAATACAATCAGATAAGCCAAAACGTTTGTCAGGACCAATATGAACAAGCTGTGATGAATGAAATATTCTCGTATTTGCTGCCATTTTGGTGAGGGGTTTTTTTTTCCTCCTAGGGTTAGCTGACTTTTATCAATGGAGAGAACTTGAACCATTTTTTTCCGCATTTCTAGAGAAAATTTGCTGAAGCATTAGGATTTATTTTGGACTTCAAATGAACACTATTGGTGTTAAGTCACTACTACATGCTTAAAAATGGATCTGTTAGTCTGTTTTGATTATAGTTTTCAGCATATGTGTGGATAACGAAAGTTTAGGGTAATAATATCTCTAGCTTGTGAACTTTTAGCATTTGAATGTACAGAGAATTTCACAAGCCAAAGTAATCGTTAGATAAGGTTATTAAGTTTACCAGTACTTGATCTATTAGTTAAACATTTTCTAAATTTATGTGGATTGTGTTGAAAAAGACTAGGCGAGGTTACACTGAGTATCGATTTAGGTGCTGTGATAAGACATGTGATCTGTGAATTAGTAGGGGTATAGTTTCCACTCTTCATTTTAAAAGAAAAGAAAATACTAACACAAAAAAAAATATGGCCCCAGGTTGAGCTGGATAGTGAAATCTGTGTCCATAGCTGACTTCAAGTAGGTTGGACTTGAGGCCTTTTTGAGTCGGACCATGTGCCTATTACGGCACTTAAGCAGAGATCCTGTTGGTATTGGTGTTATTTTGGTCCTGTGAAATTTATACTACCAAAAAAGGTCTCTTCAAAGTACATTAATCATTTCTTTTTGTTGATAAATCTTCGTGTCAGTCCTAGAAAGAAAAATAAAGAAAATAGTATATCATTCTAAATTTGCATTATTTCTATGTTTTTGCCTTTCAATTATCTGTATTGTGATTGTAAGCTTTTTATTTATTTATTTATTTTTTATCTCACATGTTTGGAAATTATTTGTTCCTTTTTGATGTTTTGCAAAACATCTTGTAAATGTGAAACGTTTACTTGGTTTTTAGAACTTGTGCTGTGATTCACTTTATGTCAACCCACCTTTTTCTTTTCCAACGAATTCTACAGAAGCCAAAAGCTTTTTGATCTAATGAAGATGTGCTTTACGTGTTGAATAGACATTATCGATTATTTATATGATCTTTGAATTATCTTTTTAATTTCCGTCATGTTATCTAGGATTCCTTGAGATCAAGAAGGTGGATATCTTATGGAAAGATCAGCCAAATGTATCAAGATCTCATTTTAGTTCTTCTGGTGAACTCTATTTAAGGGTTTATATGTCTGAAAACTGTGATAGATCAAAATTCTGGAGCGTCCTTGTGAATAATTGTCTCCAAATAATGGACATGATTGATTGGGATCGCAGTTATCCAGATGACATTCGTGATGTGAGTTCGGCCTACGGAATAGATGTTGCATGGAAATGCTTTCTGAGTGTAAGTTCTGAGGAGGCATCCACCTTACTTCCTTTGGCTACTTCAGATTTTGTGAAACTTGTTAATATTTTTAATTTACAATTTGTGATTTTGAATGCAGAACCTGAAGATTGCAATATCTGATACTGGCAAGTGTATACTTTCAGAACATTTGCTTCTTGCCGCAGATTGTCTATCAGCTACGGGAGAGTTTGTTGCCTTAAATGCAAAAGGGTTGGCGCAGCAAAGAAAACAGACCTCTGTTTCTTCGCCATTCACACAAGCATGCTTTTCTGTTAGTTCTCATTGACATCTGTAATTTATTTATTTTATTCTTTTTAGATTAGCAGGGTGTGTATAAATCTATGTTCTGTCTCAGAATCCAGGCGATTGCTTCATTAAGGCTGCCAAGATGGGAGTTGTGGATAATCTTCAGGGGAGCATAGATGCATTATCATGGGGAATGATTCCTTCTATAGGAACTGGAGGACAGTTCGAAATGTTATATTCCCCGAAGGTAGATATTACCTTGTCCTATTTAATGTTATTGATGTAGCAAAATGTTCAGGGTGTTAGACTGGAAAAGTGAACAAATTACGTGTCTCAGTGATATTAAATACATACTAGGAGCTTATGCATAAACATAAACTAAATTCATGTGTATGTGTACACCAGTTGATCTACCCCATAGTTGTGACATTAGTGCCATCATCGATCAGTTTCATTCCTATCACACTCTATGATGTTTATTTATGAATTTCCTCATCACTTCTGAGTTTCGACCTTTGTTGAAACTAGCAAAATTTCAATATTTGAGAATCTTTTGAAGTTCTTAAGTTTTATAAATAATGAAAAGAGTGTAGGTTTAACTAGGAAAAAAAAAAAAGAGTGGAGGTTTTGTGCCCTACGTGGATTCTGTTCTCTCGCTGTCAGTTGACGAGGTCAAAATTAACTATAGAATTTATTAGGGAAATTAGCTCCAATCACATACATGTAATTGGATCTGAGTTCTTGGATTTCTCATGGCCCGTTGGCTCTTTCTAAGGCATTCTGGTCATCTTCTTGATCACATAATTGTGCATTGGGTTCTTTGGCTTCTATAATATTAGATTTTTTCGTGGAGAAACGACAGATTTTGAACTCGCTCAATAGTGGCATCAAGTTGCTTCTAGGCCAAGACACTTACCATTCCAGTCCTGATGGTATAAATTATAGGGATGCTTGAATTATTTTTTCATTAAATCAAGTTGCTCTTATATTCTTCTGATTTCTTTCCATCTATGCAACCTTTAGATACTGACATGCTTCCGAAAGTGTCAATGATGGATGTTCGGTTCTGGGCCATTTGCCCAGGTGGTATAACCTCTCCTCTCTCAAAGGGGAGGTGAGGGGTTGAGCCCCGTAGAGGGCATTTGTGAGTGTGTGCGAGTATTTACCTAGCCAAAAAAGAAGAAAAAAAAAATGTCAATGTATTAGTAGAAATGCATCAAATATTACATCCTGCGGCTATGGCATCCCTCAACCATGAACAAATAGACTGCAAAGCTTTCTCCCTATTCCCTACCAGATGAGGAACATGATTTGAAGCTCTTGAATAAAATCTAAAGAGAAACCAGGGTGCAAAGCTAATATATTTCTTATATCTTCCACCGCTACAATAAGGTTAAGGAACATAAAACCTCTTTGCGACAACCATCTCAACAAAATGCTTCAGCCATTGAGGCATCCGCCACATTTGTGAAAGAAACTATAGCCACCTTAAGAAATATACCGTCTGGGTTGCGGACAATGAGACCACCTCCTAGCATCGATGTTTGCTGTTGTTAATTGCTAGTCAGAAGTCATGTATGAACTTATCTTGCAGTTTGCCAGAGTATTGATCTATTTTGAACCTTTGAATGAACAAATCTTTGTGCTCTTTTTCTATATACTGTTATGTCTGTGTGTGGTTGGGAGGGGGAAGGAGTGCGCTTGGGAAGAGAAACTATTTTGCATTTTATGGTAGAATGTTGTATTTACTTCCACGTTCTAATCCTTTCTACTACATCATTGACCAGGGACATGAACTTGCTACTCCTATAGAGGTCTATGACTTGTTGGGTAGCCAGATCAGCTCTCTTGAACAGAATGTAAAGGTCAAGGCACCCAGCTGGCATGACCGTATGTCCAATAAATGTCACACTCAGCCAATATGTACATATGATGATATTGCTGTGAAAGGATGTAAAAATTTGGAAATATCGCTAACAAAATTAAGAAGTGTTATCTCGCTGAAGGACATTCAGAGGTTGTCTCAGGAATTGAAGTATATGCTACGCAAGTAAGTTGGCCTCTTCTAAAAGATCCTTTTCTCAATGCTGCGTTATATCATTTGGTACTAGTGAAATAACATAACATATATTAAGGTTGTATATCCTATATAGAATAATATGAGTTGTTCATGAACAGTTTTCAGTTCTCATTGTGTTGTATTTCTGTACTTAATTTTATATTGTAATAGTCCAACAATCTCCTATTGGTATGGAATTATTGGCAAGAATCTTGTTACTAATTTTTCCCTCTATGTAGCACCTCTCTTCAGGTTAGGGCTTGTAATTTTGACTATTCATTTGTCATAGGTTAAACATCTGATGTGTTTATTTGGGGATAAGGAACTATAATTTTATCGAGAAAAGGTTAAGAGAGTAAAACAAAAAGATGGATGTGGAAAGAAATTCAGCAACAGATTTACAACAGGAAAAAAAACAAAACATATGCATTAGAGACTTTTGTGACCTCCTAAAACTTGAGGGTTTCAACAACCTTTGAGGAAAATAGAGATGCCCTCAAAAAATTCAAGAACGGCTGCCTTTCTCTTAGATTATACTCTCTTAGACGATACACACACTTCTTCAATGGCCAAACTAGGAATCCACTTTTGCTGCTTGAATAGAAACAAACAAATCCAAGATCTCTCTCAACATATTGGTATAAGAGCAGGTAACCCGTATTCATTATTTATGTAAATGATTTCTTTTAGGGAAAATTACACAAACACCCCCTCATGTTAGGTCAAATCTCACATAAATGGACATTTTAGTTTTAATTTGCAGTCACATTCTGAAGAGTTAATCCGTATTTCACTCGCACCCCAAATGTCACTTTTCAGGGCTGTCAGAGTGCTTTTTACATGCAAAATGACTATGCTACCCTTTGACTTGCTGTTGACTTAAAAAAAATAGTATTTCAGTTATTAAATGACTCAACCACCCCCTAGATCCATTGTCTCTCTCACTAAAAATTAAGTTCTTCTCTCTCTCTACATATATACATACATATGTGTGTATATATATATATATATGAAATCAAGATCTCTTATTCTTACAAGGCTGCCATACCTGAGACTTGGACACATTCATCTTCCTGGCCTTTTAATTCTGTATAAATAGAATTAACACACACACACACACACAAAAGATTGTTGATGAAACAGAAGAAGGCATGATGTGTTCACGCACAACATAATATAAGTAGCCCACATAAACAGAAAATAAATAGCCCAAATTTGAAATACAAATCAGGTCAACTTGGAGTCCAAATTAGAATAGTGATTGGGCAAAATCAAGGACGACTTAGTTGAAATAAAAATCAGGTCAAATTGGATGGAGTCCAAATCAGGTCATATCATGCAATAAATCAACCATGTTTGTAAAGATTTTTTTTTTTTTTTTTTTCTGCCTAATGCTTCAAGGATTATGTGGTAATTACCAATCTCGTAGGAGATTTCGGGTTGTCGAATTGCCCACTTGAAGAACATAGCCAATCGCTTCACCGCCCAAATTCCCTATGTCGACTACATTGGCCACCATATTAGTACTCAATTCGGCACCCACATTTTTCAATGCGCTTTCGATTGCGGTTTTGCCTTTGAGTTTCTGAAGAAAGACACCTTGTAGCTTCTCTTCCGGTGATAGAAACCCATCAACAGCTGGACTAATTGAGCTCTCTCTGTGTGGGTTTGGGATTGAAGCTTCGTTACAGCGGCGAATCGGTAATAGATGAGATAGTTGATCCAAGATGTGATTTTCACCATGGTGATGATACTGGACTGGTTCTTGATTTGCTTCTCTGATGATGGTGATTCATCAAGTGGCAAAAATCTTTGGGCGAGTTTGCCGGTTGTAGTGACGGTGAGGGCGACAATCTAAAACACCGACAGTGAGGGTCTGCCTTGATGGCGACGGCAGATCTCCGGCGACGATGGTGATAGCTATCTGCAGTGGGATGGAGAAGGAGAAGGTGATAGAGATAGATATAGGTGTATGTATAGATATGTGCTAATGACTCAAATAATCCCATGTTAAAATGCAGAGAAGTATTTTTTAAGGGTATATTTGTCCCCAAAACTTTTATCTATAGATATATAAATATACAATAGATTTCCCCTTAGGGTCACTTTTGTCTTTTAAAAAATTTGATATTTATTGTTAAAATATATTAAATAAGTGAGGGCATAAATGTTTGGTGGGTTGTTTTTACAAGTTGCTTGCCAAAGTCTTAGCCTCTAGACTGAGGAAGGTTCTGGATGGCGTCATCTCTGATTCTCAGAATGCTTTTGTGGGAGGCAGTCAGATTTTGGATTCTGTTCTTATTGCTAGTGAATGTGTGGACTTCAGGTTGAGTAGTGGGTTCCGGGTGTTTTGTGTAAGCTGGACATTGAGAAGGCTTACGACCATGTGAGTTGGAGTTTCCTCATCTACTTGATGGAGAGGATAGGGTTCGGGGAGCGATGGAGGAGATGGATTCTTTTTTGTATCTCTAGTGCGCACTTTTCTGTCCTTGTGAATAGAGCTCCAACGGGGTTTTTCTCTAGTTTGAGGGGCTTGAGACAGGGGAATCCGTTTTCTCCTTTCCTTTTTCTTTTTGTGATGGAGGCTCTTAGCAGGTCGTTGAAAAAGGCTGTTGATCTGGGATTGTTGAGAGGCTTTCGGGTGGGTAGAGATGTTGCTAGTCAGTTGGAGATTTCTCACTTGATGTTTGTAGATGATACTTTGGTTCTTTGTGATGTTGATGCGTCCCGGCTGAGACATTTGAGATGCGTTTTGATTTGGTTCCAAGTTGTCTCTGGGCTTAAAGTGAATGTTGGAAAAAGTGTTTTAGTGCCGGTTGGGGATATTCCTGATATTGAGATGTTTGCTCAGATCCTCGGATGTGGCACTGGCTCGTTTCCTATTTCTTACTTAGGTTTGCCTCTGGGTGCTCCTTTGAGATGTGTGGGGAGTTGGGATCCGGTGGTGGATAGATTTGAGAAAAGGCTGGTGGGTTGGAAGATGCCGTACCTCTCCAAAGGGGGGCGGGTCACTCTGATCAAGAGCACTCTCTCTTGCTTTCCCACCTATTTTATCTCCCTTTTTCAGATTCCTTCTTCGGTGGCGGAGAGAATTGAGAGGTTGCGGAGGAATTTTCTTTGGGGAGGGAGAGGAGAGGAGTTCAAATATCATCTGGTACGATGGGAGCAAGTGTGCCGTCCTCATCAGAGTGGAGGTTTAGGGATTCGAAGGTTGTTGCCTTTCAATAGGGCTCTTATTGGGAAATGGCTTTGGAGATTTGGGGTTGAGAGGCTTTGGCTTTGGAGGAAAGTTATTGCCAGCAAGTTTGGGGAAATCAGTGGTGGGTGGTGTTCTCTTGAGGTGCGTGGTCCTAGGGGTGTGGGGGTTTGGACTTGCATTCGAAAGGGATGGGACGTTTTTCGTAATCATGTTCATTTTTCAAAGGCTTTGGTGTGGGGAGCTTCCCTTTGCTCTCTCTTTCCCTCGGCTTTACAGGATTGCTTCTGACAGGCAGGCCTTGGTGGTTGACTGTTATCACCTTGATAACGGAAGACTAACTTGGGAGTTTAGGAGGCATTTTCAGGATTGGGAAACTGAAGAGGTCACTCATTTTTTGGAGTTACTATATCGTCAGGTGATCTCTCATGAGGAGGCTGATTGTTGGCTTTAGAGTCCACTCTCTCAGGGTCGATTCAAGTTGAGATCCTTTTTCAGGTACCTTTCTGTTGGGGAAGGTGGCACTTTCCCTTGGAAGGCTATTTGGCGCTCCAAGGCTCCCCTTAAGGTGGCCTTCTTTGCTTGGACGTTTGCCTTGGGTAGGATTTTAACCCAGGATAATTTGAGGAGGAGAAAGTAGGTGGTTATCAATCGCTGTTACTTGTATCGTCGCGATGAGGAGACAGTGGATCACCTTCTGTTGCATTGCAGTATGGCCAGAGATTGTTGGGATATGATGATTGGGTTATTTGGGGTCCCCTGGGTTATGCCCTATTCCTCTAGAGGGTTGATTGAGGCTTGGAGAGGTTTCTCTATTGGGGCGCTCATCCGGGATGCTTGGAGGGCTACCACTCTCTGTGTTTGGTTGTGCATTTGGCTCGAGAGGAATCGGAAATACTTCGATGGCAAGGAGAAACACGTTTCTATGCTTAAGTTCTCTATTATTTCTACTCTCTTTTGTTGGGTCTCAGGGAGAGATTATCGTTCTGTTGAGGAGATTGTTATTTTTTTGGCCTCTTTGAAGGCTTGAGGCTTTTTGTGGCCTTTTCATCTTGTTTCCTTGGGTTTCGCTCCCCTTTTGAGTGTTTTTTTATAAAATTCTTACTTATCAAAAAAAAAAAAAAAAAAAAAAAAAAAAAATTACATTTTATACCTTTTTAAGATGAAAAGCTGATATGGGGTCTAATTGAAAGTTAAAACCAAAATGTTCATCTATCTGAGATTTGACCTAACCTGAAGGGGTGTCGGTGTAATTTGCCGTTTCTTTTAATTTTCTAAGGATTAAGTATTTGTTTTGTGGTTTAAGGGTTTTCCAACTAAAGTTGAGACTTCAAAAGCTAATACTGTGAATTTACAGTAACATCAAGCAATGTTTGTAATTGGCTGGCCAACAACAGTAACAAGGCTCTAATATGCGTTGTTAATTCTGAGGCCATTCTTTAGAATTATGATCTGCTGTGCATAATGAAATGTTCTTCTTCTTCTTCTTCTTCTTCTTACAAAATTTGTTAAAAAGCTACAAATGAAGAAGTTTATGAGAAATAGTAGTGAGAGAAATTAAGTACAGAGCATTCAATAATATTTATTCTAAATGAGGTGTAAAGGATGGGAAGAAAAATATATACAAATCTGCTAAGTGAAGAGAGAGGAAAACTAGAGATTGTAACAATATTAAGTGCATTGTGAGTGAGTATCTAAAAGTTCTCGTGAAGGGTGATGAAATTAAAGAAATGTGGAAAATTGAGAAGCTATGAAAATCATAGAAAAAGCAGTTTAGAAAGATTTTGCAACCTTAGGGAATGTAGATAAATCATATTTTCCTGTAGGATCCAGTCATGAGTGGTACAAAAAGCATCGAGTAAGACAAAAATAAGTTTAGGTTTTGTCGGTTTGTCTTGGCTAAGAAAATTGTTCAATAATATAATAATAAATAAAAAATGCCTGATGAGTAGAAGTATTTTTGCTACCTATATATAAGAATAAAAGGGATACTTAAAATTGTTCAAATTATTGTGGTATCAAATTAGTGAGTTATAGTATGAAACACCTGGAGAGAGTTATTGACTATCCCCACTACGCAATCACTCACCTACTAAAATATCATTCAACATAATAAAATCCACAATAAACAGATATCAACTATAGAATCCAATCCCTATTTCATGGCTATCCCCACTACACAATCACACATTCTAGGAATAAAACTAAGATCACAAAAATGGTAAAACTAGATGCCTCTAGACTATTACGTATCTTCTCTATTAGTTTAAACTTATAAGTAGATGGTGGTTAACACACAGTGCCATATGTGTTTCATCCATGTAACTCAATCATGGGGATTACTTTTGCAGATTAATTATGATGATCTCATTGTGCGAATAGTTTTTGTACATGTGTATGTTTTTTGAATGAAAGGTCAGCTCGTTTGCCTTGAATTGTATTCAGAATTTCATAATTAAGCCACTTGTAAATACTGATGTGCTTACAAGCATCTATGTAGCAGACAGGCATGCTTAAGGAGCTTACATGATTTTAATCAAGATCCTGTAATTGTTAGCACATTTTATCAGAAGTTAATTGTTCTGTGTGGGGTTGCTATTCATCGATCTTCGTTACCTTATAATCCTTTCTAAAATATTAATTTGATTTGTATGTTTCTTTTCTTTTATTTTCACCATCTTTGATGTAGGTATCCTGTCAATCACCAGTTAAGTGATGTGGACAAGTCTATTGCAATGATGGCTTTATATTTTCACCCTCGAAGGATAGAGAAGATTGGAACTGGTTTTCAGGAAATAAAGGTAAATGAAAGAAATTTTGATTTTGTGAATAATAATTTTCAAAAGGAGTCTATTTATTTACTTACACGTGAGTTATCCTGAAAAGGACAAAATTGTCACATTCTCTGCAATTTGATTGTTTAGAACCTGAGTTGCTTACTAATCTAAGATAATCGAATTATTTTAAAAGTGAGCATTATTTAGTCAAGCCAAAAAGATGTGCTATGAGATATAATGCAAATATTAGTTGGGATTCTTTCTACCCAAAATTTAGTTATATAAGCCACGGTTGTGTTATTTTATTTTTTCAATCATGAGTTTTAAAACTTAGTATTGTCAGTTAGGGCTTAACAGATTATCAGAGTGAAATTTCAACAGCATAGGCTAAGTAGAACTTTCAATGATGTCTTTGAAACCTAAAATGCCTACTCAAATTATCAACTTATTGCAGTCATGGTGTTTCATTCTAAATTTCTTTACTAGCACTTTTTCTAGAAGACGAGTAACCAAGATTACAATTGTTTCATTGGAAAGACTGCTAGAAATAATTTCCAATGGCTTGATTTGTAAGCAGAGAACTCCTTTATCAGAATAGATTCCTATATCATGTCCTAAAATTCAATGTTTTAGTCCATTATCTTAGTTGAAAGTATGTCAATTTTGCCCCGGCAACGGCGAATTTTCACTTATCAAAAAAGAGAGAAAGTATCTCAATTTCTATGACACCCTTTTGTTCATAAAGGAAAACACTTCCATCATATATTCTGTTAAAACATACACAATCTAGAATATGATATCATGGCTTATTAGGAAAATAGTTTAGTGATTATATATTTTGGTTTACCCAAATACTTTCATCAGTGCCTGTATTTGGAAGTAATTTTCAAATCAATGAATGAACCTCAAAGTGCAAATGACTAGAGATTGAAGACAGGAGTATTTCTGTGCCAGAACTACTAGCTAGTCACTGCTGCAAGAACTCTTCAAAGATCCATTCTAATTATTTTATATGAAATGTTCCCTGAGATAATTTTATTTTTTGATTTTTTGTTTCCTGTTTACAGATTGGTTATCATTCAAAACATGAAAATACTCGCTGCTTTTTGTTGGTAAGAACTGATGGAACAGTCGAAGACTTCTCATACCATAAGTGTGTACATGGTGCATTGGAGATTATTGCTCCTCAACGGGCGAAAGCTTATCAGTCAAGGTGGCTAAATGAAACAATTAGGGAGTGAGAGGCATTTACGGTGGCTTTCTAACCTTTGCGTTGGATAGTTAGATGTGCAGTCATCTTGATGCATCACTCATAAATGAGCCAGAGGATTGCTTCCTGGACTGGTTTTGTTAATCCAATGCTTCTTGTGGCTTGAAAGCTAAGGAAATCTGAAGCAGATCTAACTTGTGGACAACCGCATGTTGAAAGTGTTGGCATGACATCTAAAAAAAGTGTGGGGTTATGGGTTCGATTTTTGTCATCAATTAGAACAGAATTTTGTTTTCCTTCATGCTGCAGTATCTCTTCTTTGAGTGATATTATGGCTTTTGGGAGCTCTCACACCTTTCCAAAGTTGTACAACTTCTACAGAAACCGAATGTTGTGTCCAACCAGAGCAAAGGGCTGTGTATCCTATACTCCTTTTCTTTTCCGAGTGCAAAGACATCTTTTGTGGTTTTTCCCTTGGTTAATTTAGAGTTCTTTTTGCTGATTCGCAGAAATTTATTAGTAATCAAGAGTATTGGATGAAGAATATCTGATGTAAGTAGCGAAAAACAAGTTTGGAAAGGGAATCCCCTTTTTATGTTGTATTTTTATCTGGCAATGGAAACATCAATAAACATCAATGTTCCGGCTATTTTCTGTGTCATTTTTATTTATTTATTTTTTCATTGGATGTCTGGTTGATGTAATACCTTAATTATTGTTTCCATCTCCGTATTGTTGATTTTTGTGTTGCATATACAACTGTTCCTTAGATTTTGGATTTGGATGTCATAAACTCGACTTGAGAATTGAAGATTTTCATAGGTCTAAATTCTTCCAGGAATGAATTTGTGGAACGAGTCCACAGCCATGATTATATATTAGTTTCCAAGTGATTTCTGACTTTGAAGATATATTTTTCCATACAAACCATTAGAAAGTGCGTTTATGCTGAAAAAAACCGTATTATATATATTTTATACAACAATTTTATATTAGTGTATACAAATAAGATGTTCATGCATATATGTTGCAATATGATACTGCACGATGTATTAGCGATACACTAGGGACACAAGAACAACTCACGAAATTCCCTTCACAAAAAGGGACTAGTCTAGTTTGTGAGTCTTATTTGTTAGTAAAGAAAAGTAGCGCAATTTGTATGTGCTACTATATTGTATTTACCGGCCAGTTTTACTGTTTGAGTCTGCTTCGTTTATATTGTATTGATTGCCATTTTTTTTTTTCTTTTATATTTTATGTTCATATCGGCATAAAAACATGGGAAGATGGTCACTGGATCTTTTTCATTAATGATTCTAAACTACAGAGTTAGGTGGTCAGGTCAGGTGATTCAACCCTGCTTCGTCACCATCAATGATGAGCCCACCAAGGTGGTCAAGTGAGGTCTATTATGGTCTTGAAGAAAAATAATAATATAATTAAAAAAGTCTATATGGTCAACATTAATTAACCCGCAAGGTGGGCGGAGAGGGTTATATATTTTTAATAATGTAAAAAATATTTTTCACAAACACTTTTTTTTTAAAGTAAATTAGGGAGGAGATATTTGGACGGAGGCTCAATAATGTCCTAGTACACAAATACTAAGTTTAGTGAAGAAGCACCTTCTCCTCAGGGGACCTTAGACAACTGTCTTATGATTAATTTCCTCGTATAAAACCACTGCAACATGGTGGATCCCACGCCAACCTTATGTGAAACTGCCTTGGCCGAATTTGGACTGTAAATAATTTTCTTTTATTTAATTCCTTTGCATGAGAGAATTTGTATCTATCTTTTGATCAACAATTTTTTTTTTTTTTCTTCTTGTGAGTGCTCTTATGATAAAAAGATGTAACATTATTCTTTTTTCATACATTTGTTTACTGAACTCAACTCAATTTGATAAAATTAAATTGAATTGGGTTTCTTTAAATGAAGGTTTTGTAATCGTGCTTTAAAGTGGATTATGAAATTATATATATTTTTATTATCTCAGTCCATTTTCTATATTTTTTTTCTTCTTCTAACATTACTTTATATGTATCACATCATTTTTCTTTATTAATTCAAATGATTGATACAAATGCCTTTGTCAAGCAAAATAATCTTATGTTATGTTTGGAATTATAGAATTAAAATTTAGAAGAAAAGACGCAATTCCATATTTAAAAACACTAATATTTTTGTTAAAATTATCTCTAATGCATAAACTTCTTTCTTATTTAGTAAATCCTCAGTGAGTAAATGAAAATATAAACCATAAAAAATACAAATTTGTTGAATGTATTAGCTTTCTGGCAATTGTGTGGCGCACTTAAATAAAAATTGTGAGTTCTAATCAATTTATCTTTTATTAAAAATATATATTTCTAAAATTCAAAATATGATTCAGAACAAGAAGAATGGTAGAAGTTGACATACCAGCATTACATCCTTGTGGCATCTGATTCTCTTCAATCACATGGGAAGGTTCTCTAAATGAGATCCACAACCATAGTAAATAAATTAGCCATGCCACTGCCATAACCCAGCCAGGTAATGTGTCTTCATTAAATGTGATCTTGTATATCTTAAAATTAGTTTGAAGTAAACCAGCAAGTGCAGGGCCACATGCCATTCCAAGAGCACTGGCACTAACAAAACCTGCTGAAGCCTGCATACGAATTTTAAGGGGTAAACAGTCACTGATATACCGCTGGTTTACAGCTCTAGCAGAACCGAAGCTGAAAATTTGGAGAACACAATTTGTGTAAAAATTATATTATGAGGTTTAGTTACAATCTTAAAAACCAACATATAGAATATGCCTAGGCTACAATAAGGATGAATATAAAGCAGAATGCAATTATCTACGTTTTCATGTTACTGAATTGTACTCATCAACTAATGACTCGTACTAACACAGAAACACAAAAGAGAGACATACACAGAAATGCAGAGAGAGTTACCCACAAAGAAGACGACCGGTAAGAAGAACAGATATTGAGTCAAGATCATAAGCCAATGCATACAGCAAATTTCCCAAAAGAAGCATTATACTACTAAACACTAGAGGCCTGAAGTATGATCTGTTCGACCAAGCACTGAAATACACCGAGGAAAACACCTGGGCGACAGCCATAGCACCAATAACAATCCCACAGACTGTTGCTGCAGCACCTAAGCTGATAGAGTAGTTATCTGTTGTGGGAACAACAATATACGTATTGACCATATAAAGAAATGTGTTCACTAAGTTCAAGAGAAGCGACATAAAATGGTATCTCTCATCATCAACAAGTTCCTCAGTAGGAGCAGGTAACTCTTCTTGCATAATAAATGCATGTTGCGCCATGAAGTGAAGAAGTTTGTTGAGTGGGATAATCTGTTTGTGGCTGCTTTTATTGAATCAATGACAGGATCCTGCAGATTAACTCTACAGGAGCAAGCATCTCTCTTCGGATGGTAAATGAGATAGATTTGAATCTCACGATGTTCTTATAGTAATCCTTGGCATGGCTCTTCCAACTTAATGTGCTTTGAAATTCTCCTGTGACTACTTATAAAAAAAAAAACTCATGTGACTAAGTTTGATTTCTGACATACCCAAAAAATAAATAAAATAAAATAGAATGTGATAAAGGAAGAAGAGGAGGAGGAGGAATGACACTTGGTTAATGTCTTTTAGTTTTAGATTAGTGAACCTCAATGAGTCTGTAATGTGAGTCTATAGGTCCTTTGGACTGGTTGATTGTCTGAATTGTCAACTCAAATGCAACTCTTAGTTGTATATGGGATGCGTTCCCCATTTGAGCGCCTTTTTATGAATACTTTTCTTATTGAAAAAAGAAAAAGAAAAGTCAAATGCTACTCTTGTTAGTAGTTAAATAACTATTATGTTGTATAAACATTGTCTTTGAACATCACCACCTTGCACCCCTCAACTGCTCAGCCAACCATAGAGACCTCTACAATTCTGGAATGTGTTGACTGACTCTTGCAAATGCTCGGATTTCATTACTGGATAGAATTCTGCAAACAATAAGAAGTATGCTGTAGTAACTCGTATAAGTTAGTAGTTTGAGCAACAAGATGAGATATGTCAATAAATGGGTGTAAATTGGGCTTTTGTATTACTTTTCTCAATCACTTAAGCAGTTATTTCTGAAAATCCTGGCTTCTCACTAGTTCCATATTACTATATTTAAAGTATATCATCAATGGAGTATAAAAGATGCTTAACTGAACAATATTAGGGAAGGATGTTTAAATAGAGATGATGGATTTTTATGTTTTTGATTAATAGAACCAGTACAGAATGATGTACTTGAAAAAGGTCTTGCACAACCATTTCTCAAAAGTTCAGAGGAAACCCAACAAGGTGAAGATGGTGACCAAGAATGTGATGAGAGTGAAGAAGCTCCAGAGGAATCTCGTCAGCCAGTCACTTCAATAGGATCAGCATATAGGTTGCTTACGCCATCTGTGAAGGTATGTGTTTCATTTTCAGTTTTTCAATTTCTAGGTCACTGAATGTACAATGAAATGTCAGTTAACAATTTCATTCTCCAGGTATCTAACATTGCAAGAATGAAATAACTAGGAGAGTCAGTCATACCAAATTAGATATATTGGCTTGTAAAAGCAGCAGAGTTGTTTTTGGTGAACTGAAAGTATATTTAATCTTTGATTCTTCATGGAATTGCTAATATATGCACCTATTAATATTGGGGAATCTCATTGGATTTGGTGTTGACCTGGAGCTCCATCATTCGGGAAAAAAAAATAGTGCATATCTTAGGGTAAGAATTATTGTTACGAGTTAGGACAAAAGACGCATGGCTTAAGTTCAATAAAACATGAAATGTTTCTTCAATGATTTATATTACGTGCTTGAATTTATTCTCTCTTCAAGAAGGTACTAGTTGTTAAGTTGATTGCATACTTTTGAACCTTTCTTTCAAACTATGTTACATGGACTCGGATACGGGTGTTGGACACGGGTTTGTGTCGGATGTGTCAAATCTCCAAACAGAAGGACACACGGACACGGCTAAATATTCATTTTAGTAATTATTTTATTTTATTTTCTAGAGTAAAGTACTGTTTTGATCTAATATAATGTTCAATATAGGCATTTAACTCCTTTTAAAGTAATAATATAATGTAATTGAATGATTGGATATTTGTTTTAAGTATGTGTCTAACCAAAAGTGTCGAACACATATCCCATACCCATGTCCGAGGGATTTGTATCCGACACGGGTAATTCACTACTTTTGAAGAGTCCATGTAACAGAGCTTTCAAATACTTCCATGACTGTTTGGAGTGTCTGCACAAAAGAGAGCTTACTAGCTTCTCTAACAGTGAAATATCTCTGCAATATTTTATAGAGTTTTTCAAATCTTTTCAGATTAAGAAATACTGACACAAGTTATCTGGAGGACACAATTAAGAAATTATGCAGTAAGCAGTATCATCATTACAGCTTTTCAATTGCATGTTATTCATGGGGGCAGTCACTTATGGGTCTGAGCTTTGACGTCATGTGAAACATTGGTCCCTAGTGGGAGTGAACTTAATTTGTCAACGTTATAGGAGTTTAAAGCCAAAACTTAGTAATAGGTTAAAAGTTTTGAACTTTATCTCCATAAATTCTAAGATAAAAATCTGTTATGTAATTGATATTACTTGAACGTGCTTGTAAAGAACAAGGAGCTAGGAAGATTGAATAGAACCCAGAAATAGAATTGCAACTGAACATCGTACAGAATAGCTACTGATCTATGATATTCCAAAGAGTTAAATTCAAGATTGAAAGTGCAAAGGTCCTCAGCGCACAATGCAGAATAGCGACTGAACTATGATTTTGCAAAACTGAAATTGAGTCGCAGCTTGAGCAACGATTCCCAATAGTTCTCTTATGAGGCATTCCTGGAATAGTTAATATTGATTTTGTCCGCAGCATGTACCCTTTTAAATTCCAACACTCATGGGTGCAGCTTTTAATAAGCTACAATCATTTGTAAGCACTACTCTTCTCTAGCAATCCCTGACCCTTTGAATATCATAAAGAAAAAAACGAATCTAAGGATATCTAGGCATTATTCATGCAAACCAATCTAAGAGGGAATATGAGCAGATAGAGCTAGGGGATAGAATTAGATCAAGCTTGAGTTAATCTCTGGTTTTGTTGGAAATGGAATGGTATGTGAAATTTTGTTGAAGTTCATAAATCATAAGCATGCGATGCGATTCAGTAAAACTGATGGGTAGCTATTATGCCTTTTGTCTCTTGAACTATGTTAAGAAATTGGTTGTTGGAATGATGTGAGTGTCTATTGCTCAATCTATATATAAGTAAAGAATGTGGAATTGAAGAATGTGATGATCGCTGGAACCATTTGATTTTTCTTTCTTCTTTTTGAGTTATGTCTCTTGAGTAGTAGTTTTTGCAGCAAAGTCAAGATATAAACATGAAATTTGAATTATTAAAGTTTAATATAACTTCAAGTGCTTTAATTGAGAAGAAATATTTTACTTTCTAACTACCGTGTTTAGTGAACGAGTGGAAGAAGATTGCTCAAAAGCAGAAATGAATCAAACGTGTCCAAAATGGTGTTTGTACTTGTGAAAGTTTTTTCAGCCCTTTCCTGCACCCTCTGATCTGGGGAATCTAACAGATAAATCCCAGGTTTAGGCATTATACAATATGCACACATTTGATAATTGATATTACATTCCATTTATCTTTATAGATTTGGTTGGACTCTGCAATTATTTTGCAATTACTCATGATAATGTGCCTAACAACTTCATAATAAGCCAATGATCTGTCAGCAGAGTGGTATGAGGATGGCCCTGAAGAGAGTAGTTGGTACAGGTTAACATTCAAAGAATGGGAATGGGATTGCAGGGGCTACAGGTTCTACTATAGTTTGGGGCGTGCTGGCGCGCACACAAAAACTTATCCTAATGTCATATTGGAAGGACATGTCCTGTTGATGCAGTATGAATTTAGGGTCACAGTGTGTGTCTTTAAAAAGAATAGGGGCTTTCTTTTTGGAAGCTAGAAACCTAATAGGGAACTCAAAGTTTCAAGAGTGCCTAATAGGGAACTTCTATTATGTAAGTAGTGTAGATGCACAATCTATTCAAGTGTCTTATTTTGCATGAGATTAATATTTGTATCTATTCACCTTATGAACTTGAATTTCCTAATTGGGATACTGGTGGTTAAATTTTCAAAATCAGGATTGAGTACCTCCTAATTGTTTTCTCAAAATATTCTATCATTACTTATTGTTGATATTTAAGGAGAAATGATTGAAGTGCTGACATTATTTATTTATTTCTATATCGGCAAGTACTATGAGCCGACTCGATGCATCTTGGAGATTTTCTTTCCCCTTCTTGATCTCAACTATTTGTGAAATCTCAAAACAGAAGTATATATCATCCTCTATCTGGAACTAAAACAAAATCAAACTTTCATGCGTCCTCTATCTGGAGCTAAAATACAAACGAACTTACATGATCTCTCTGAAATAATGCTATATGATGTTATCAGGTTCAATTGCTGATTTACTTCATGCTTAAATACGCAATGGAGATTTTACTTTCAGAATCTAGTGTCATTACCACACACTATTTTGGCTGGTCTACAAGTACAGTGGCAATTTTCCTTGCATGTCTTGGCTTAACAGTTCTTCCTGTGAACATCGTTGTTGGAAGCTACATTAGCAACATGTTTGAAGACAGGTAATTTTTAGCAGAGATGCTCTTTGAATCTTTGCTTTATTAAACAAGGCATTCATTGTACTTCTGATCTGAAGTTTATTAAGTTTTAGTTAGATTATTTAGTATTTAAGTATCAGTTGAAACTCCTTGCAAAAGCCAATACTAGGTGATGATCCTTCCACAAGCATTGTTAGCTTATCATTTTTAATTTGAATTTTATAGCTCATCCGTACTGGTTTCTTTTCCAAAAGCCATAAAGAATTCTCCTAAAGAAATTTGACTGATATATATGTATACAAGTGGCCACTGTTGAGCAACACATGGCTTATTGGTTGATATGATCATCAATGGCTGCTGTTGCAAAGCTTTTCAGGTTGATGGTGTGGTAAACTATTTGATCTATTACTGATTTTGAAAACTCGGCCACCAATAATCTGCATTTAACTTTATTTTTATGTTGAAAATTAATTTGTCGATTACGTAGTGTATTGTTGATAGAACTTTCACCCCCAGAAAAGGCTTGCAACATTCTCAATGCCAAAAAGAATATATATGAATATAAAAGAAAAAATAAAGATTGTTTTGTGATGTCAATTTAGACCGAAAGATCAAAACCATCATGCTTGCATTGGCACTTTCACATTCAGACAGATTCCTAAAATATGGTCAAGTTCTTTATTGAGCTATATGTTTACTGACAAAGGAGGAAGAACAGATTTGCATAAATCCTGAGTTATCCTTGAATCTTCCAAATGGTTGTGAAAACGTCAAAAGCATGAAAACGTCAAAAGCAAGAATTTTTGAATCTGGAATTTTTTTTCTTGCTCTTCCCTGAATTATGACCAGTCTTAAAATTCCTCATCAACTGGCTTCCTAATTTCTAAAGATACATCACTGGTGAATTCTTTAAATCAACTTCAATGAATATTTCATGCATCTTGAATCTGGTGCATCTGTACTTTTAGGGCTTCTATGCCAACGGGTTGTCTTGAAACGTCTATCTAAAGCAATAAGCATGGTCATTGAAAGCATTGTTGAAGATTTGTTGCATTTAATAAGATGATCTATATCTGCTCACTATGTATTACTCAACTAGTGGTATGCAAGCTCCTCTGATCTGGCATTCCCCCCTCCTTTGGTTCCTATGTCCCACCAATTTAATTTATTTTCCTCATTGATCTAATTGCAGGCAAATTTTACTGGCATCTGAAATTATGGTTTACTTGGGCATACTCTCAAGCTTCCACATAATAGGTACATATACTGTGCCACAATATGTCTGCTCGGGACTCATAATGTTTGTATCTGCTGAAGTACTAGAAGGTAAGATTTGCATTATTGATGAACTTACTCAATTCTATTTTGTCTGTGAACTGAATGATTATATGAGAAATGATAAAGGAGTACAAAGGGGAGCAGGAACACTCCTCAAGGAGAAAAAAATGTTAGGAAAAAACAGTGGAGGAGCTCCAATGAAACATGGACTCATGGATATAAAATGAAGTGATGCAGTAAGTGCATCCTCTTGGTATTGTTCTCCTAAATTTTTGATGCATCATATCAGGATATCCCGTATTTTATTAAGTGAGATGTTCTGTTAAAGTAGATGTGTATCATTGGGAAGATGCCACCATAGATCACGTCATAATAGTTGGTGTATTGCAAGTTGAATTTCACCAGAACAAGAAATAGTAGTTTATGCCTGTAACCACCAGCTTTCCAGCTCAGATGTTCTCATGTTGCTCCCTTTTATGGAAGTTGCAGGTTCAATTCCCGTCTAGAGGCACGGGCATCGTGGGAGTTTATGGGATCAAGTTTCAGTGCAGAAAGCGCCAACACCTATTGTGCAACCCATGCTGTTGAAGTTGACTCTGACAATGATAAGACTGACACCCATAAATGCTGCTTGTTTTGGACAGCAAACTACATTACTTACCTCATAAAGGAAAACAAGATCCACATGCCTTCCTCTGTTTTGAGAATTCAAAATGGATGGTACTTGGATTTCCTGATACTTTGGGCTAGGATGGGGGTCAATTACTTTCTCATTGAAGAGCTACTTGAATCTTCTAAAATGTCATTGATACTCTGCCTCTCCTATCTCCTCTGGTTTAGAGATCTAATCATAACATAGAGAATCATGCAAATACACAAGATATAATTTATGATACGACACAATCTGGCCTAGTGTACGGATGCGAAGAGATTTTAATAATTCTGTAGAGAAACTATAATAGTAGAAAATGCCCAACGCTGGACCATACCCAAATTCCCACTCTAGGGTATGTACGACTAATACCCGAGCCCTTCACGATATACCTCTCCAAGAGACTCCCTTCTATCCATTAGTGTTCTCTCTACTCTATTAATCATTAATCACATCTTTAAAGGCCATGTGATGTAGAGGCTTCGAGACTCGCACACTCATTTCTGCACAAGGCAACTCTCTTGCATCTTTTTTCATTTACTCTCTCCTAACTCGCAACCAAAATTCTAGATTTCTATTTATTGAGTTCTAAACCCAATAAGAACTTTCTTAAACAAAATACCAATAAAAACCTTCCCTTAAAGCCCAAGTATTACCAATAAGAACTTTCCTAAAAAAACACAAAGTCTAAAATAGAAATAAAATTAGAAAGTAGGATTTTAGACGCAATAACAACAATCTTATGGGGAAAATTGCACTCAACCCTCTTTTTAAGGAAATTTGTGTTAAGCAACTATAGCTACAAATTATTGATATTCAAGCAAGTAATAAGAAGAGTCTCTAAGTACCATCTTAATGACCAGCTATTTCTGCTGAGGTTCACAATGCAACCTTGAGAAAGGCATTACTTCTTTAGAAATCTTCACACACTGAAAATTACATCATTGGGTTAATATTATAGCAATCAAGGCAGTCATGTAACTGAATTGCAGTGGTCATGACCTCAAGAGAGGTAAGTAATTGAAATTTCATAAGCCAGTTGGAAGGCTAGTAATGTTAAAATAAATCTTAACCCACATGTGAATGATCTATTGTTGTAAACAGTGATTGTAGGTGCTTAGTAGTTGAACTGAGTTTGGATTATGAATTAATTTCGAAGAATTTTTATCTTTGCATCTTTATATATCTAGTGACAGTTGTGGGGTGTGAGTCATGCGGCTTCCATTTTTTTGATTCCTTCAATTTGGTTGTCAATGCAGGTGCCAACTTGGCACTCCTCTCTCGAGTCATGTCATCAAGGCTTTCACGGGGAACCTACAATGGTGGATTGCTTTCAACTGAAGCTGGGACAATTGCTCGAGTGATTGCATATGGCACGATAACCTTGGCCGGATACTTGGGAGAGAGTAGGCTATTGAATGCTACTCTACTCCCTTCGCTCTTAATTTGCATATCTTCCATTATTGCCACCTTGTGCACTTACAATTCTCTCTACTGAAAAAAAAGAAAAAAGAAAACTCTTGTATCTAGGAAATTCCTTAGGTCCAAAAATATTCCTTGACTCGTTAATTTATATTATTGATTTTTTATTTTTATTTCTTTTTGGTTCTGTAATGACCCGAATTCAGGGGTCCGAATCGTTTACTGGGTCCTTACCCGAATCCGAAGTCATCTAAGGCATTATTGTCCTTTCCTATGTCAATGCATAAAATACATATACATCATCCCATGACTTATAGTACATTATATCACTAACATCACAGAAAACTCACAAATACATGTAGAATGGCAGCGGCGTCCAATTCCATGGGTACAAGTCATATGTCCATACTCTTCTGGTTTCCTGAAAATGTTAAGATAAGGGGTGAGCTCAACAGCTCAGTAGGTAATGCCTAAAACACTGATTTTGAACTTCCTTGAGCCAACAACCAAAGAACGGGAAAAAAAAATGTCGGGATCATACATGAGGAGTTATCAAAATTACAATCCATGTCATTCAATTTAAAAAATTATCATTATATAATTAGTCATAATCATAGGTGTCAAAATGTCATGAAATGCAACGCATTGCGTAATCGTCTCGAGCTTGGTCTCACATCAACTCCAAATCCCCACCTACGCTAATTGACTTTACCGAGCTGGGATTGACACTTTTAGTGTCAACTTTTTTCACACCCTACACTGGGCCGCGCCCACTCTAGGTCACGTTAGCCGCTAACTGATTTTACCAAGCCGGGATTGACACTTTTAGTGTCAACTTTTTCACGCCCTACACCGGGTCGCGCCCACTCTAGGTTAAGTTAGCCCTGGACTCGCGATATTCAGTTCGTTTCTAAATCATTTCCTCACAATCCTTTCCAAACACATTTCTTTAAAAAGAAACATTCTAACCTCACTTTTCCCAAACCATGCCCATGCTATGAATGGAATCATACATTAATGAAAACAATGCAAACATGCCTGCACTTTATCAGTTTAGTTATACATACTCATCATCATATATATGTAATTTCAAGAAATAAATTCGACGCAAGGCATGTTCATTAAACAACTTTGTAACTAAACACATATATAAATATACGAAATTAATATCATTTAGGTCATACTTCGTCACATAAACAAGTAAATACATTATCAACATTAAATCTTGACATTTGTCAAATAAACGAACTTAACTAAAGTCAAAACGTGACGGTTTAGACATCCCTACCTCAAAAGTAGCCAAAATGCACCCCTGGCTTGAAAAGTCAATGCCGGTTAAAGCGGTCAATGCCAGTTAACAAAAGTAAACATTAGTCAACAGAGGCGGAATGAAAAACTGTTCGGTGGGAACGTAGCCGTTGACGAGGAGATTCTTCTGTTCCAAAGGCTCAGCTCTGGAATCTAATTCCAAGTGGTCCAAAACCCTCTCCGAAACTTTAAATCCAAAAATTTCAAAAATTCATAAAATAATCACCGCTTCTCAGAAAATTAAATCCTTTGATTATGTGATAGAGAATAACGAGAGGGACATTTTCTGTCAAGGAACCAAGACCAAAAACCCGACCGATTGGCCAGAAAATGGAGGAGAAAAATTGAAGCTCAAAGAAAAAGAAAATAAAAAGGAAGAAAGAGAGACTTCTTGTGGGAGAGAGAAACTGAGGCTGAAATGTTCAGCCAAAGGCTTTAAGGCCACTAAAATGAGTAACAAGTGGGTCCCATCACAAAAAAACATCTTACTTTTTTAGTATTAACATATATATATATATACACTAATGTAATACCCCTGATTTTAAAAGGATAGTCTCGGTATTTTTTTTAAAATTATTTTAATTGCATTTAATTATTTAGTTGATTTCTTGGCTAATTGTTTACTTGTTTAATTGATTTAATTATTTATTAAATGTGTTAATTGATTTAATTGTTTAAATGAAATTGTGTGATGGTGTGTATTTATTTAGGAATTTAATTGTTTTATTTTATTTTTATTTTCATATTTTTAAGGAATTGGATATGAATAGTAGTAATGGACCAACCAATTGGGCTCCATGGACTACTTGGATAAGGAGTTTAATGGGGACGGATAATTACCCATGTATATGTATATTTAATAAACAAATAAATATATATATATATAAGGAAAGTCATATATATTTATATATTACATATAAAAAGGATTACACATAGATTATACGTACCATATATTTTAGTTACCTTTTTGGTATTTAGATTTTATTTTGTTTTATTATTAGTTTGGCTTGGATTGGAAAAAGGATTAGGGTTATTTTATTTGCCTATAAATATATAATTATAGGGTTGTGAAAGAGGTTAGAAATATATTACGTACTATATTTTAGAGAGAGAAAGAAGGAAGAGGAAGGAAGAGAAAAGGAAGAAGGAGGCTAGGGTTTTATCTAATCCCTAAAGGCAAGTTTTAATCTTTCTCTTCTCCTTTGATTCGTACCCTATGCATGCTAGATTATATCTAGGTTCTTAAATAAATTAATTGAATCTAATTACATGGATCTATTTGAAAATTTCAGTTCATGTATTTTAATAATAGGTTTGTAATGAATTTTAATATTGACAAATCGATGCATATGTTTGAGTTATGGTTTCCATTATGTGTTTATGTAGTGTTTAAATTTTTGTTCACATGATGTTCGTATGTATCAGTCTGTGTGTGTGTCTGTGTGTGATAGATAGAAAAATCAAAATTGGTAACTCATCATAAGGTATGCACGCCGAACGAGGAAGGAAACATGTGGTATATCAGTTTTGTTTCATTGTAATTTAAATCTCATTGTTTCATAAGACTACACGCCACACGAGGGGAAGGAAAACAAAGCATTACAAAGTGATATGAATCATGTATCAGTTTGCTGTTTTCTTTAAATTGAAGTTTCATTGTTTTCATAAGGTTCACACGCTGCACGAGGAGGAAACAAGCAACAATTACAATCTGATATGCTATATGGGTTAGAAATAAATCTTGTACATGAAAAAATAATAATAATAATAATACTTAGTTATGCATTAAATATTTTTTAAAATGTTATTTTGATTACTATTAGAATGTTAAATTAGTATTTATTATTTTTGAATGATGGATCTGAATTAAATATCTATTTAATTTAAGTACATTATCCTTGAATTGGAATGCATGATTTAAGTTTACATGCTATGTATGGAATTTAATTAATTTTAAAAGGATAAATTAATTAAATATTGTTGGATTAAATTATTTTAATCAATTGTTTAGATTTAAATTAATTTAATCAGAACATGGAGATGTACAATTTAGTCGAGATGCATGTTAATTTGTTGTGATGTAAATTAAATGCATGCTAATTAGAATTGATATTTTTGCTTAAGTAAATGCAAAGGATGTATATAAGATTTATATCATATTTATTTGGATTATTAAATGTAAATATTATTTACATTATCCTTGAATTGGAAACTTTTATTTGGTTGTGATATGGATTAATGCACCATTATGGGATGGTGGCATATTAGGGACGGATTAACTTAAGAGTTAAGTCCTACCTATTTTTAATAAGGGAACGGATTAACCACAGTGTTAAGTCCTACTTATTCGTGTCAGGTCAACGGAATAGTTGGATGACATATTATTGAAATAATAATTGGATAGTTTATTTGGATGGTTGGATATGATGGACTTTACATATAGAATTATATGCCATGATATGAGCTTGAGTCTTAGGATCAGTGGTTAGGGTGCGTATATTGCCAGGGATGTGTAGCTAGATATAGTGCGGTTGTGTACCCTGGTAGGTCTAGGTACTCATGCCCACTATATGTGCGTTTTGCGTGTTGCCTACTATTCAGGTTGAGACAACTCTATAGTCTAGTGAGGTTCCTTTAGTGTGTATATATATCTATATATGGACTATTTAGTTATTGTTGAATTAATTAGGATGTGTACGTGTATCGGGTCTCTGTTTGGGATGTAGTAGATTAGAACTTGTATGTGGGCCTGACCCACCATTATTTTTCAGGTGTTCGTCAGTTCCAGTCTTAGAGATTGTTCGTGCCGAGCAGAGACAGCTATTCATTCTTCCGACTCTACGTAGGACTCTTCTTCATTAGTAACTTATTATTTTTATTTCGATTCAGTTATTTCAGTTAGGATATTATTAGGGGTCCACAGTATGGATTCCTGAGTTGTAGTTTAATTAATTACTGGTATCAGAAGATTGGAGGATTTTATTATGGGATTTTAATAATTATTTATTTGAGGATTTTTAAATAAGAATTTATTATTTAGTTTTCCTTTCAGCTTATCTATTTATTTTTAATTCATCTTGTATTCCAATGCTTGTTTAAATATTAATTGTTTGATATCCCTCGGATCTGTGCTCGGACTTGATCACCCGTGGCTCTAGAATCGAGGGGTATCACAGTTGGTATCAGAGCACTCCAGGTTCAAGTGTCTCTAGGAATCTATCGTTTTAAGACTTCCGCGTAGCGTATTATTTTAGTTAGAGCCTAAGATTAGGATTCGTTGTATTCTTTACGGTTCGGTTAAATCGTACTAATGTCTGTCTTTCTATGTTAACAGAATGGTTAACGCTAGAAGAAGACGGGACAATCAGAGAAACAAGCAACGAAGGGAGGCGGCTCGTAGGCAGCGTCAGGAGGATGAGGGTCAGTTCTATGAGGAGCATGAGGAAGTTCAGCAGACTCGGGATCAGGGAGGAGATCCAGAGTTTCCTCCTCACATCAATGACCTTATTGCTCGGGCTATAGAAGCAGGGGTAACCGCTGCACTTCGGAATCAGCCTCAAGTACAGCCGGCACCGTTACCAGCACCGGTTGTTCGGATTGATACTTGGGAGAAGGCTAGGAGTTCTTTCACAAAGGGGAGCCCACCTGAGTTCACAGGCTCCACCGATGCGAAAACAGCTCATCAGTGGAAACAGGATATCGAGCGACATCTTCGCTTGGTTCAGTGCACGGAGGTTCAGAAGCAGATGCTTGCTACCTTCAAGCTAGTTGGGGATGCACTACAGTGGCGGGAGTCAGTTAACACCGCAGCGGAGAGGATGGCATTGACTTACGATCAGTTCAGTGCACGCTTTGATGAAAAGTATTTCCCTTATGCAATCAGGGCAGCCATGAAGACTGAGTTTCTTAATCTGCAACAGGGGAACATGACAGTGGCAGAGTATGAGCAGCAGTTCACGCGCCTATCTCTTTTTGCACTGGAGGAGGTGGATAC